TGTAGGGGTGAGCCGAGCCAAGCCAATAGAGAGTCCTAATGTCCTTCACAAAAATTAGTCCTAAAGCAAGTGGACACGTGCACTGTCATCAAATGGAACACCATCTCTGCCTGGCTCTTCCCTCTTGATTCTATCTTTGCCTGAATTATCTGAACTTACTCAAGCGTGCGAAGCATATCAACCGCTGAGGAGTGACAGCTCAGCTCACAAAAATATCTTAGGACAGGAAGTTGGAAATGCCAGTGTGTAAAATGGGAATTCCTTGAAATTCTGTCTAGAGGGGTAGGAAAGGCAGCAGTTTCCAGCATGCCTCACATCATACAGGCTGCAGTGCGGTTGAGAGGTAAGTGGGACGCAGCACAGGAATCGTTTGCAGCTTCGTGCCTCCGCCAGACTTTAGAAACTGTGCTGCATTTCTAAAGGTTCCTCCAGGAACCTTTGCCGCATCTTCAGCTCTAAGGAGATGGGTGGATTACACACACACACGAATCCTCCTGGACGTGGTTCTCCACAAGACTGTATCAGTAACATTATTCAACAAGAAATGAGTATGTTCGCTGTGCATACGTGGCTTAGTTAGCTGAAAGCGGTAGACCTGCCACCCAGGATCACTGACACCGTCAGCAGCCACCTGCACTTTGTTTTTGATCAAAGCATTGTGCTTTTGGCTCACTTAAAATTACCAGAAAAGAGCTGAGCCACACAGACATAGGACTTGCTGCTGGTTTTTTCTTCTCTGAACTGTCAAATAACACCAGTTTCACACGTGTCCTTCACACCTACACACACACACACACACACACACACACACACACACACACACACACACACCATCTCATCTGGAGCCTCAGGCCTGGGCACTAGAACAAGCAGCCCCAGGAGACAACCGGCGTTGAGCCTTCAAGGTGTAAGTCTGCACTGACCTGCAGGCTCCAGCTAAGGGGCCGCCTGCGCTGTCTGCAGCGCCCTCTGCTGGCCACTTGGAAGCTCAGTTCTAAATACACTTCCTGTTTGCAGGTCTTTTACGATTAAATGTGCTAAGCCATATCCTATTTAAAACAAACAAACTAAGCAACACTAAAAAAAAAAAAGGGGTGGTGGTGGTGGTGGTGGTGCAGGGAGATGGCTCAATGGAATGAGTGCTCGCCTGGCAAGCGCAGGGACCTGAGTTCAATCCCCCTTTAGAAGGCGCTGGGTACTGAGGATCAGGGGCACTTACGATGTGTGCCCAGGCCAGCAGCTCCCCCGGGGACAGCCTGCGCCGTGTTCCTCATGCTCAGACCCCAGGCGGATGGCCCGGATCGCCCGTGTGAGCTGTGGTCTGCACTGCCCTGCCGGGCTCAGTCGCATAGTGCTGCCCACCCCCGGGGCTGCCCAGCACCCCTGTGGCTCCGCAGACCCCAGGACTAGCCTATAGCCGCACTGACTGCAGGTGCAAGTGTTCATTCACCTTGGCTTCAAGCGATGAAGTCCTCCAACAGTGTTCTGCGCGGGCGCTAGACATGAACCTCAAGCTCTGGTCCTCCAGGCGGCCACGTGGCACCTGCTCACTGCCGAGCTGAAGCTCACAGGCAAGCAGTGGTGCAGGCAGGACAAGTGTGGCAGCCCGAGGCAGCTCAGGGTGCTTGTTAACAGCAGAAACAGCAGCCCCTACTGAGGCTCCCACGTCTGATGAGTCCACGCCTAGGCACAGTGCCACCCCCAGCTCTTCTGTGCCATCACCTCCCTGCTCCACCAGACTCAGGAAATGCTCACCAAGGTCGGTCCCACCCAGCGATGCCCACTCCCCCAATCTGGCTGCTAAACTGCCAAAAATCTGGCACAGAAAGAAGTCTGCCTCTGACCCGCCACCTCCTGACCTGGCTCCTCTTACAGCGCGGTCTGACAGTTACCTTCTCCTAGGTGGATGTACACACGGTGTTACGTGGCTCTCGCGTGGTAGCACCTTCCCCACCCGGCCTGATCACTCTACAGAACTGTCCTTAAAGGAGCTCCCCGACGCTCAGCCCTGCCTCGCAGTTGCTATGGTGGCTATGGTATCTAGATGTGACCCCTGAAGCCTCACGTGGTCATGGGAGGGGGGCTGAATCTACAGGTTGTCACTGGTTCACTGTCCAGCGCTGGAATTGGTGAGATGAGCTCCACGCCCAACCTAGGGCGCGTGGACTGCATACACTATTCAGGAAGAAAAGGCTTGCCCCCCACCCCGTTCTGCTCTTGTTGCCTTACGCTCTCTTCCACCCCCTGTGAACTATTGTCCTTCTGCTGTGCCACCCTGCCCTGGAGCCAGCTGGTTATGAACTGAACCCTTCACCAACTAAAAAAATCTTTCCTTCCTTAATTTTTCTTATTATTTTCCTTCGGCAACAACAGAAAACTATGACAGAATTTAAGTATACCTTATCATGTGGTTCAGGAGCTTTGGGGAATAGCTTGTAGGAAGAATTTGGAAAGGTTCAGAGGCGTCACCTGAAAGAGTAGAGATGGAATGAATGCCTTAGGCTGCTCTGTGTGGGAGACTCTGCTCAGAGCTCAGAAGACAGGAAACCGGTAAAGGCCAGGTGAGATAGCCTCCTGCTGGAAAGGATTGCTTCGGCTGCTGGACTCCAGGGGATGTGTGTTATGGCACGGTAGGAAGTGTGTCTGCATTTTGCTTGTGCCCAGAGTCTTCCTGAGACTAAGGTTAAGGGCTGTGAGATATCTAATCTTATAAAAGAAACTTCAAGGCAGTCAGATGTTGAGGTGGTGGCGCAGCTACTATTCGGGGCTTTGAGCCAGGCTGATGTTAAGAATAAAGAGCAGAGAGCCTAACAGAATGATTTAAAATGTGTTTGACCAGAAAGAAAGTTCTAGTAAAGCTTTGGACTGCAGAGACAGGGCAGAGATCTTGATTGTTGACAAGGAACAGAATATAAAAGATGGCCTGAGGCCACCACAAGCAGCAGTCCACTCAAACCTTTGCAGCCTCCAAACTGCAAAAGTGACAGGCGGCTCTGAGGAGCAAGCAGCAGAGTTCCGCGGTCAGGAATGGCAGCAGCCTAGCGAATCTGTTCCTCAGGACTGGATTCAGAGTGCTCAGTGATCCAGGCACCTCCTCCTGCAGCCAAGAGATAGAAGCCTGGCTACTGCTCCAGCTGGCGGCATACCAGGGCAACATCCGCGTGGTGCTGGTTTTAGGTGAATGCGGAAGGAAAGACCTGTGGGGTTAAAAAAGGCTGAAATCCATCCTGATTTCAGAAGGCCCGGGAGGCAAGGCAGTGTGCCCCTGAGAGGGCAGTGTGTGAAGCTGTGTGAAACCAAAGGAGCAGTGGAGACCCCAGAAGTTTGGAAATGCCAGGAACATGGATCATCTGCGGAAGGCTGCAGGACTGAGCAGAGCAGGCCTAAGAGAGAGGCTGTGGGAGCTGCAGCCTCTGGGAGTGCTTAGGTGGAGGGGTGGGGTCACCCACGCCCTTTGGATTCGCCCAGCTGGATTCTGGGCTTGCTTTGGTCCCAATCCTTTGTATCACCATTTGTATCATACCATTTGTACCATCTTTTGTAGCATACCCTTTAGAATGGAAATGTCTGTCTTGTTCCACTGAACGTCAGATGTGTTTAACTTCCTCCGTGCAGGGGCTCACAGCTAAGTTTGTCCTACATCTTGGAGACTTGGGACTTGGACTTTTCAGCAATGCTGAAACTGCTAGGACTTAGGCAACTCTTAGATGATTAAATGCCTTTTGCATAAGGGGATGTGCATGAGTCTTTGGGGGGCCAGGGGCAGAATGTTATGGTCCATCTGGATGAGCCCCAAAGCCTCGTGCAGTCAAGGAGGGGGGGGGAGACTTTTTCAAGGTGGCTGACTCTAGTCTGTGATTGGTTCATTGTCTAGTAGTGGGACTATGGGTATCAGTGTTATATGAACCTAGGGCAGGCAGCCTGCATACACCAAAAAAGAAGGAAAGGCTTGCTGTTCTATTGCTCTTACTGGTTATGCTGTCTGTCTTCTTCCATCTTGAGCTGTTGGCTCTCTGCTGTGCCATTCTGCCTTGGAGCTAGCTGATTACGGACTGAAAACTCTAAATAAACCTTTCCTTCTTTAGCTTTAGGTATTGTGCATTTTCTCTCGGCAATGTAACTACGTAATGAAGACAAGGGCCAAAGGCAAGCTCAGCATCACCAACCTTGTGTGCCTACCTGTTCCCAGGTCCAGGCGCCCTGTGCAGGAGCCTGGGGCTCTTCCTGGCTTCCTCCCCATCCCCGCCCCACCTCACACACAGCACTTCCTCTAAAAGCAGATGGCAAAGCCTGGCAACAGCCCCCAGGACACAATGGTGCAGGCCCTCTGCTCAAATGCCCTGAGCCCTGGTTCTGCTCTTCAGGACCACAGCGGACTCAGAAGGGCCATCCTCTCCTATGGGCTCAGCAGGGACATACAGCCTCCTCTGGCACTTGGATCTGTTCCCTCCAGCACACCTCTGCCTGCCCAGAAGAAGGCTGGCTCCTTCCCTCCCTTCCTCCAGGCCCTTGGGGCTCTGGGTCCTCAGGAAGCCTTCCTTGCCTAGCATGGAGGAAGCACTACCCTCCTCCTCTGCATGCAGATTTCCCTCTTTCTGGACCGCACTGGTCAGGTTCTGGACTGTTTGTGGGGTGATTACTTCAGGCAGGCTTTCTGTCCGTGGTCAGAGCACACCAAGATGCTCCAGCTCCTGGCCTGCATTGGTGAGCAGCCGGCAACAGACATGGTGGGGACGGGCGCCAGCAGAGGGCGCCCAGGCGCACCTGAGTTTCAGTTACACAACAGCTAAGAGGCCGTCAATTGCGGCTTTTAGCTGGCCCCAGTCCTAACTAAACTCCAAATCTAATCATGAGGACTGTCTTCCAACTCTCTCCTAGCAGTGTCGTGGGGACTCGAGCCATACAAGTGTCACTGGAAAGCAGGGCTCTCTTCTCGGTTGGCCTTTCTTCGTGTTGGTACAGAAATTAACACCAAGGGTCAGCTTTCCACAACACAACAGTGTGCATGGCTTACTTTTTTTATTATAAAAACACATACAAGAGTTTAAGAAATGATGAATATAAGACAAATCAGAATCACGGTGAGTTATTAAACCCATGTCTATGTACAAGTACTAAAATTCCGAAAGTGGAATATCATCCAATGTGAGACACATCATAGCACGACCCTATGTACACGGCACGCAGCGCCCGCCTGCGCCCCCCAGTGGCTCGGGAGACAGGCTGCTGGTCACCAAGCCACAAAAGAGCGTCTGCGGCCTTGCTCTCCGTTCCTGACAGATAGTTCAATATTTTTAAGGAACTTTAGTGATATGAAGAAGAAGCATTAAATGAGTTTCTGCTAATGGCTCTCAGTGTTTTACTCTGGTAGATTATGCGCTAATCTTGAGAAAAGCTTTTGTAGCCCACTTCCAACTAACAGAGTGGAAGACTGCTCCTTGTAGCCAATTTGCTGTTTCCTAGATACTCATTTGAACATAACATCTAAAAATAGCTCAGGAACCAAATCGTGTTCTCATATTGTTAAGTTCATTACAAAATGCCACTCAGTTTTAAAAAGCCACTAAAAGGACACTTTCTGCAGCAAAAAAAGGGCTAAGTTCAAGTTTCATTTGACCAAGACAGAATAATACATCCACATGTCACATGATCACAAGAGCCAGAAGTGAAAGGAGCACTTCCGCTGGGAGAAGCGCGTCTGGCATCTGCTTGTTCCCGTCTCCAGCCCGACGGAGCAGGGAGGAGAGGCCCGGCTCACGTCTCCTCTGTTCTGGAAGCAGGCTAGTCCACTGGTGTCAGAATGTGTCAAGGCACTTGTCTCGCTGCCTCGGCTCGTGCTCAGCTGAGGTCTGCGGTCCTCAGGGTGCCAACCTCCTCCAGGCAGCTGACGATGGCAGAGGGGATGCAGTGGGAGGTCTCTTTCCGCCAGGCCTCCAGGATTTTCAGGATCTCCTCTGGGTTGCTGGGACTCAAATCACACAGAGCATACACTGCTGCTAGCTGGATGCCCCACGGGATATCTGAGAAGAAATTCCAATCAATGATAACATAAGAAAATACCTCTTATTCAAAGTCAATGTTATAATTTCTAGCAATATAAGCTGTACACACATAGAACACTTTCAGTCAGAAATGAAAATTAATAGGGCTGGCCAAATAACTCAGTGGATTGAAGTGCCTGCAAGCAGGTACAGGGCCCAAGGGTTCAATCCAGGCCTGCTGTGCTCGCCCAGCCCCACCTCCCGATGCTGGAAACGATGACCCACAGCAATGCAGCGGCAGAAAGCCAAGCCCATTAGTATGCACAAATGTGTGGCTCAGTTCAAAAAGCTCTCTGGGGAGCACAGCAGACGTGGACCACCAAAGCTGGTCAGGCCCTTCCTCACTCTGCACTTGGCGACCAACTTCCCCTGGGCCTCAGTGTAGGCCACAAGCACAGCGCCACCCAGCTCCAAGGGCTGGCCTGGCAGCTTGCGCCATGCCGCGGGTAGCACCAGGCAGCCCGACCCCAGCAGGGCTTCTCCTTCTCTGAGTCCTGCCCACCTAGCCACAGTGAGCCTGTACAAAACAAGCTCTGAGCGCCAGGCTCTCACACCTGGACGCTAAGCCAGAGCTGTCTTCACAGGGAGCAAGGGTGTAGCCGTGGTGGTGACTCGGAAGTCTAGAAGGGGCCACAGCACAAGGAAGCCCCTTCATGTTGTTCTGTGAGCTCAGCACAGCACACCTCTCATTGCAAGCTGGAGACAGAGCCCTTACTAAGGTAAGAATCATTCTGGGGGCCGTGCAGTGCTTGTCACTTCATACATTTCTTTTTTCTTTTATTTTTTTTAAACGTATTTGGTACAAGGTCTCACTATGCAGTTTGGACTCATAGTGATCCTCCTGTTTTCAGCCTCCTTAGCACTGGGATTACAGGCATGTGCCATCACACCTGGTCTTGGTGGCCGACTCAGTGTGCCCAGGGATGGGGCTGGCACAGCATATGGTGTTGCAGATTGAACCTGGTCCGCTGAGCTATCTTGCTGCCCCATAAATGTCTGATGAGTATTTAGCTGCTTGGAAATACACAAAATAGAAACTAGCATAATCACTAAGTATTACTCTGGATTCTTAAACTTCTCCTATAAGAAAGTAAGACACACGATGACATCCTATGCAGAACATACATGATGACAGAAGCCCCACCATGCAGATCCACTCCTAAGGCTTCCAGGTTCCCGATAGCACATGGGGCATGCTGGCTATCCCTCCAGGCAGCACTGCCCTCCTATGACCTGGGATAGGCAGGACACAGCTCCAGCAAAAAGCCTGTGGGAGTCCAGGCTAAGCCCGTGGCACAGAGTGCCTGGGGTCAAGGGCCAGCAGCTGGGGCGAGAGGTCCCTCCTCCTCAGAGAAGCACTGCCTACCAGGGCTGAGTACATGAATAAGCAGGCCATGAGAAGAACCAGACCACACATGCACATGCGCACGCGCACGCACACACACGCCATGTCCCCCGTATACATGAAGAAAAGCACTTCCAGGAAAGTGATAAAAACAGGTTAAACAGTAAGTGAAGGCAATTTATTAAGCGAGAGTTTTACCTTCATCCTGCGCATGCTGTATGAACATACCAATAACTGAACTGATATTTTTCACAGTAGTTGGAAATCCTTCCTTTAAACCCAACTGGCCCAGGCGACCTGGAGGAAATAAAGTGTAGACAGTCTTTGGTAAAATGCTGATTAATTTTTCATAAAAATTCATTAACCCTTAAAATCCTGAGGTTAAAGTGGGTACCTAGTAAGTGCAAGCAGGTTAAATAGTGAAACCTCAAGACAATACAACACTTTGTCTTCCAGAAGTCAGCAAAATGCTCATCCTCTCGTTTATTCACAAACGGCTAAGCTAGGCTACAGCATAATAAGTGATCTAGGAAGGTTACACGGGAAATGTTCCTGATGGAACACGAGACAGCTAAACACAGACCACTCCCCTCAAAAGGCTCCTTGGAAACTGCTGTCATCACAATACGCCCCCTGCTCCCAATACACTCCCCTAGAGAGGGACCCCACAGTGCTAAGAGGGGGGCGGGCACTGCGGCCTAATGCACAGCTGTGGTCAAGGTGGTGGCGTCTCACCATGAAGCTGTTACTCAGTACCCGCTGCCCGCAGCACAAACACTGAAATTCGTGCAAACCACCCACCCCCGCACTCGAGCACACATGCTCTGTGAAGAAAAGAACATGTGTGTGTGGGCTGTGAGTGCCACAACTCGGCTTCTGGGCAGTGAGGACGCATCCTCAGCAAGGAGCAACGTGAGCCTGTGGCTTCAGGAAGGCTACCGCTGTAGGTAAGGGCAACATCTGAGCCTTTAGGCAAGCGCAGCCTTGGGACAACTCGCACAGCTGCCCTGAGCTTGACAGCTCTGCGCTCCGAGGCGCACCTGAAACTGGTGGGGTGAAGTGTGGTTCTGCTGAGATTGCTGGAATTTGAAGAGGGGTATCGATCATTTATTTCCAAGTAAACAACTCCCACGCCAAGACAGCACAGCAAGAATAAAGCAACTTACCAATCAGTCTCAGAATGGACGCGACGATCACATCAGGAGTGTATGCAATGTTCGCATGTCCTTTCCTGTATTTTATCCACTTATCCATTACAGGCCACAGCTCCTTACTGTAACAACATGAAAGGCACATGGGCACGAGTACTCCAACAAAACCAGACCCTGTACACGGCCCATGGGCAGTGAGTACACGGACTGAGTGCTGACAGCTACCAGTTTATCCCAAATGAGAACAGACAACACTGAAAGGAAGCTCCTACCTTGCTACTGAGGACGTTTGCGCCCACACAGACTTGAAACGGGCCACAAATGTCCAGCCACACTTGAATCTTTATTCTGTTCTAACTCTGTTTATGGAATCCCAAAGCCACAGCAGCGGGAAATGGTGGAGTCTGGATTTCCCAGGTACGAAGGCAGCCTGAGTTTCAGAAGCCCACAGAAAAGTAGGAGGTTCTCAGAGAAACAAAGACATGTGTGCACAACAAGCCAAAAGGAAAGGGACATCAGGAACGAAAGCACACTTCAAGTGGATTAAAGAAATTTTCCAGGGAACGAAAGCAGTGCCAGCTCTGCCCTCCTTTCTCTTGTGGAACATAAACAATGCTCTAAGCAACCCTACCTCAGAAAACTCACACCTCTGATTCTAGCTTTTCTTTCCGGACACTCCTTCCTCTAAGCATGGAAACTACAAGGTAGGTGCAGCGCCTGACTGCCGAGGGAGGAGGTGGGGTCTGGAGTCTCCCAGGCAAGTATCCGATGGTCCAGGCGGTCCCCACGGCTAGCAGGAGGACTGTGGCCAGAGCACGCCGACAGCTCCCAGCTGTGGTCCCTGTTCCTGGGGAGCAGAAGGGCCCTGCCTCCTGGACTGCTATGCAGATTGGGTGAGAGGAGGCTACATAAGCCGTCCATCCTCATGCAGACACTTCCTCAGTACCTGTGAGAGACACCTCTCCAGGTCAGCACCTAGGGATCTACTTAGAGCTATGTATTTGGATGCAGCTACGTCCCATTCTGCCCGTGGACTCAACTCAGCCCCATGCTGTGGCTTGCAGACGTCCAGCCTTGCCCTGGCCTCTCCTAGTGTGGGAGGCAGCGAGGAGGGACCCAACACCCCAGTACAGACAGTCCTCGCAAAGGTCATTTCTGCAGGGTACAGGCTTCAGGATTCCAAGAGCACGGGTTACCAAGCCTTCTGTAAATGTTCCCAGTGTCGTATACACAAGCCACCCTTCCTCAGCCAGGGCTTCCTGGGAACATGAGGATCTGCGGGAAACGTCTGCATGGCAGCGTATACCCTCCTCTCTCAGATGGCAGGGCCGGAACAGGGCGTGGAGAAAGGCTAGCTCCGTGGACACAGTGCACCCCTGGAGCACCAGCCTTTACTCTCTCCCTGAGTGAGGAGCTGTTGTTCTGTAATGCTGATACTGCTTTTCCTGTGGACTTTCAGAGTGCTTGACATTTAAGATAAAAACTGTACTTCATCCCACGTGTACTTGCTTATGCTGAGGATATGTCAGGGAGCCCTCCCTGTGAACCAGAGCCATTTCTACTGGGAAGAACTAACAACAAGGGCCGGGGAGATGGCTCAGTGGAATAAGTGCTTCCCTGGCAAGCACAAGGACCTGAGTTCAATCCCCGGTTCCACCAAAAAAAAAAAAAAAAAAGAAAAAGAACTAACAACAGAGTACAGTGGAAAGTATCAAGAAACACTACAGAAAATTCAAGCAAAGGTAAGTATAGACATCTTAACTCTCATCAAAATGAAGTTTCAGCTACCTTTATGGAACAACAAACATGATTCAAACTGCAACTCAACATCCACAGGCTATCTTACAATTAAAACAACTATCTTGGTGTCAGCAAAGTAGCCAACCTTATAATGTTATCGTGCGTCCAAACCCACTTCTGATGGGAGCAGAGCAGATCGATGGCAAAGATGTATTCCCAAGTGCTATCACTCAGGTCTTCTCCGAATTTCTCACTGGGCTGAAATTCTGTTTTTGGACATAACTGTATGGTCAAAAGCAGCTTAGAAACCATGATGCCAACATCTACAGGAGCATTCTACGGAATGAAACAACAAATACATTAAAAATACAATTCATCTACTAACCTGTTTTGAAGCTGTCTCATTGCTACTTCTTTCTCAATAAAATCATTAAAATTAAAAAAAAAAAAATAAACACAATTCAGAGTCCCAAATCAAGGATATCTGACAAAGATTACAGTAAGCATAGATGACTTAAGTCTTTCGGCTTACAAAATAACTTTCTGTAATGGCTGCATTTTTGAGAAAGTATTTACCCCAGTCACACTACTTATGATAAAATGATTATAGAACAGGAGCTGATAGGACAGGTCAAACGCTAGAGGCAGGATGCTGAACTCGGTAAGGTACAAAAGTGCTTAGCTGTAATCCACATAAGAAGGTAAATCTGTATCACATCAGACAATTACAAGGTTATAATCTAAAAAATTAAACCTTTAAAAGCTTCTTTAAATTCAGTCCATCTTTGTGACACTGGAGATCAGTGTGCCCTTCCCAGAAACTTGTAACACTGAATCAGCCATCCTGGACAACTGTGCCCAGCTTCTTTTGCACTGTACTTATCTTTGTTACTTACTCACTTGGCTGCACGCACTGGTGCAGGTATTCCTCCTGATCACTGCAGTAGCCTATCATATGGGTGAGGAAGTGGTGGATGATCACCTCCCCTGTGACATCTCACTTAATGCCTCCTGTCTGCTATTGTGAATGTTTCGATGAATAACGATGTGCAAGCCTCGGCACGTAAACTTGACTTATCTTGAGTAAGTATCTAGGAGGATCCTTTGCTAAAACTTGCTTAACTCTAAGAATCAACTGCTTGCCAAAGTGGTGGTGCTATCTACCTGCACTGTAGAAAACTTCCCGTGTAAAAGTAATACCTAGGTAATACAGATTTGTGTGCTCACTACAGAACAAAGCCCAGGCTTAGAAATTGGCTTTGTTGTTTGAAGTGCTCAACATGTTCCTCTGCAGATTAAGTAACAAAGATTCTCACAACTTTCTATCACATATAACCTATAACTAAATCATAATCCAGAAGTATCTACCTGAAAAGCCAAACTCAATCACAAAGCAAGTATCCTCCCCTTAGGAAAAGTCAGTAACTTTGTATGCTGAGAAGATGCATAAATCTCGACCGGAAGAGAATCAAATTCAAACTTTAGTTGCTTTGGCGGTTCACATTTTGTACTACACAAAAGGCCACACACCAAGTGTCTGTGAACACGTGATAATGCAGAGGTGTCTGGGTCCCCGTTCTGGGGAGACGGCTGCGGCTGAGTTTGTCAATCTGCCGTGGAGCTCACGAACAGAAGCAGTCTGAACCAAGGTATCACCGTGCACGTATTTTATTTATGGTACGAAGAAGCCCCGAGAATTTGCTCTTTAATTTATAATTAGTTTACACTATTTTGTATTATAATTAGGACACTAATTACAAATGTTTAGCAACATGTAAATGTTTAAATATTTAATACAATTCATATTCCACATCCTCGATTCAATTTTTACATTCAAACATAAGCTTAAATGCTTATTACAAAGATTTTGATAATTAGACTTGAAGGTCAAGTTTGATGTATTCCGAGGTATGTATCTTGTTTTGATTTATGTCCAGCTGCCCCTGCAAAGCCTCATGCAGTCACTGGAGCAGTTTCTAGAGTTAGTGATAACTCACGATCCAGTGCTGGGATTATGGGTGTGAGTGCTGCCCCTGCTTTGGGGCAGGTAACCTGAGTACAATATAGGGAAGGGAAAGGGGCTTGCTGGCTGCAGCAGCTGCTCTTCCCTTTCGGCTCTTCCTCTTCTTTGCTGTTTTCCACCGCCAGCAACTGCTGCCCTCTTCCCTGTGCCATCCTGACCCTGGAACCAGCAGAGTACAGACTGAATCCTCCAATAACTATGAGCTAAATAAACTTCTCCTTCTTTGACTTTGGGTGTTGGCTATTTTGTCCCAGAAACAAGAGCAAAGTAACTGAGACATATCTTAAGTTTATAATTACCTTAAAAACAAAGACAATTAAATTATTGAAGTTTATAAGTAAAATATTACTTAGGAGATGTTAACTTCTTAAATATGAATTAAGATAACAACCACTGGCCAAAATGAAGGCACTTCTGTAACAACAGCTTATAAACAGAACATGAACTTTTTAAGTGTATAGCAAGTTAAGCCAAGTGTCTTTTCCACATGCAGAGGGCATTTGCATATTTTATCAACTGCTGCAGAAGCCTGGCCGGGGCGCCCTGAAGACAAAACACTTCCCACTCTGCAGGCAGCCTGCACACCTCCAGTCCAACCTCAAGATCCAAGTGTGGATGCTCCAAGTTTTCCATTCACAACAGTTTGGACTTTGAGTTTATGGATGTTCAGCATGCAAAGTCTATACAAGTATCTCTAAAAGCAAAAAACAATGAAATTTGAAGCTTTCTGGTTGCAAAGTTTTGGGTAACACCCTCTGAAGCCGATGTATGCGGCTGCGTGTATCCACTGTGAGCCCAGCCCACGAGGGAGGCACACCCGAGGCTTTGTGCACGCTAGGCAAGAGCTCTACACTGAGCTAGGCCCAGGCGGCAGGTCTCCTGCCTGCCAAAGGACTCACTGCAATTTCAAATAGCACCTTACAGAGGTCCACTGGTGTGTCTAGGCAGCTTGATGAAGAGGTGATTTGGTTTTTGATAGTCACCTAACTCTGGACTACAAGTAGCTCTTTCCTTTTCTGTCTATAAACAAAATAAGAGCCTAACAAATGTTTTCCAAAACATTAATACATGCTCATTAACAGAAAAGGCAATAATCAACCTCTTTAAGTAGTTTGAAGGTTAACTACTTACTATAACTGGATTCTCATTAGACAAAATTATGAATAAAAGACCACCAATCTAAATACTATGAGGTGTGACTAAAAAGTACAGTGAATATTTAAATTTTAAGTATTTTTTTTTTTTTTTTTTTTGTTCCTCGAATGCCTTAGGGCACTTCTGGCCAGCAGGAGAGAGTTATGAGGTTCGAACTCCAGCAACCTGAGGCTGACAGCTTTGTGGAAGCAGCCACTTAAAGGCCTGAGCTAGGGCCAGGCCTCCAAATTTTAAACATTATTACAGCTATAGACACAGTGCCATTAACTTCCCTCAAAATACTTCCCCTCACTTTGAACAGACTCATCTCACTGTACTCTAGCTACTTTCTTTCAGGAGTGTCTTTGGTTATCCCGCCATGCATGTCTGGCTGTACTGGTGCTCTGAACTGACTCAAAATGTTCACCTTTGCACAGTGCCATATGACTCCAATGACTCACGTGGAGGAGGACACACTGTGATTGATGGCTTTGCCTTGCCTTTCCATTGGAAGGCACCAGGCGCAGTGCTCACTGCATTTGTAATAATGACTCATGTAAAGACACTCAGAAAAGGATTTCCGGAAACACTTCAGAAAGTGTTAGGAACAGTGACTGAGACAGAGACACGTGCGTTCAATATGAAGAAGGTGCTCTGAGGGGGACTAAAGGCAATTTTTAAATGTAAACATTCACCATATGTTCTGATCACATTGTCTCCCTTCACATATCAGTCATCAAAAAGACAAAATAGGGAAAGTTCTCATGAAAACTAACTACTTAAAACAAACACCAGTTCTGTCAAGCAAAAAGAAAAGAACAGTATAGGAGACTCAGAAAAAGCTTAACAGGAAGAACAGGTATCAACTTTTTCACTTTGGTGAAAAAGTTTTTTTCTACCTCCTATAGATCAAATGATTTACATCTACTCCAAGCCCTTTATCCATCTATACATATCTACGGATTTCATCATTCGTAAGGTAGTAGATGAAACAAACTCTGGGCCGGAGAGATGGCTCAGTAGAATAAGCGCTTCCCAGGCAAGCACGAGGGCCTGAGTTCAATCCCCGGTTCCATGAAGAAAAAAAAAACCAAACTCTGGGAAATTACTATACTCCACAGATCTACCACTCTTCCTGGGATGGCTCATGAATACTTAAAAAAATGTGTAAGCTTAGGCTAGAATGGTATATTACAGGATGTAATAAGATGATGAATATCTTTAAAATGCTTATGAACTAAACCAAACTAAATACAAAGACAAGGAATACCATTCATGTAAGGTCTATAAATATGATAAGTAGCAGAAGAAATAAGGGGAAATGCTCACCTTTTCCCAGCTGAGAAAAGCTTTCAAACAGCTCAGAACCTCCCCTTTGGCACGCTGCCTGGCAACTAGTTGCATTGCTTTACTGATCACCGACTGAGAGCCAAACACATCGTGCCACATGTTTGCAATAAACAAAGTCAATTTCTCAGACTCTGGAAAATCTACAAGAAAGCAAGCAATAAAAGAAACATTTAGGTCTGATCAAGTGATTGAATTTAACAACTATCACAAGCTCATTTCACGGGTGCCGTGCATGGCATCCTGCAGCCTAGAGCAGAAGGGACTCTGGCCTCATCAGAACTGCAAAACATTCTCTTTCTCTCTCCTTTCTCATACTTCATTCAGATAAAACTTACACATATTAAAAAACTATACAGAACTGTATGAAAAAAAAGACAGCCCCCAAATACATTGAAAAAAAAATGGACCAAATTCTTTTTCTAAGTTCTGTATCTCCAGAAAGCTGCCAACTGACTTGTATCCTCAGTGGACAGGTTTATGTATTCACACAGGTACAGAAGACTTTCAGGATAGAAAACTTTATTTGTAGCAAGTTTTTCAGTACACAAATTCTGGATTAATTTCAGTGTAAATATTTTCTTCTACACTCTGGCTTTTCTAGTCATATAATCAAATATACTCTTTGAATACAGAGATTGATAAATTTTGAAAAACACATCCAGGTAACCAACCTCCACTGCCACAGTCAATACCCATCATCCCGAGCTTCCCTCGCCAGGACCGAGCCGCTGCCTGTCCCTGAAGCCAGGGTCTCCTGTCATGCGCTCAGCCTGGAGTGGTGCAGCACACACACTGCTCTAACTTCTGCACTCAGCAGTTCCTGAGCTTCACCACCCAGGCTTGCCACCGCGCAGCGGGCAGCACTCTGCAGTCTGGCAGGTCACAATTTTCTCTTCACTCACCTGCTGACGCACTGTTCTGTCGATGGGCTATGAATCAAGATGCTACAAACGTGTGTGCACTGGTCTACTGTGAGGCGAGGCCTACTTCTGTTGGATATGTGCCTATGAATGGAATTTCTGCATCACAATAAATGCTAGGACTACTTAAAAAGTTTTTCCAGTAAATGACAATGCCAGGCATTGTAAAGAGTTTGATCCTGTTTGTCACACACACACACATTGTTTTAATATTCTCTGAGCTACTTTATCTATCACTGCCATGTGTCTAAAAAGAATGGATAAATAAAACACTAAACTCAAGGCCTACTTTGAGTTGTTAAATTCAAAAGTTACTTTAACAAGGAAAGATTCCAGACTCAAGACTAAATCCATAAGAGATACAGTTAATGGCTGCCAGTAGTATATTTTTCTGCAGTGGGGACACACTGGGGACAAGATAAACAAACTCCCATCCTTTCAGAATGTACACTGTAGTGGAAAAGATGGCAAACAGACCAGTTATGATAGTCAGGAGTAGTATGTGCCCTGGAAGCAGAGAAAGGAGAACAGGGTAGAAAGCAGGAGGTGCGTGAGTAGAGTGAGCTCTAATGCCGCTGAAGGATTCGGGAGAGACAATGGGCTGTGGACAGGAGAAAAGAAACCCACGCGGACTGGCAGAGCCCACATCCCACCCAGCTCCACCGCCCGTCACTGCCGACAGCAATGGTGGTCCGTCTCTATGAGGCTCCCCTGGTCCTCCAGCCCCTGGGGTGCTCACAGCTGCAGAGCTCCTGACGTGCGCAGGCATCCTGGAAGGAAGGGCCTATGAACAAGCCCGTTTTACTGCCATCTGTTCTTGTGGGCTTCTTGCTGCTTTCCTGAACTGCTACAGGACCAGCTCCAGTACTCACGCACTCCCTAAGTTTCTCCACCCCTGTTCTTCTGTGTCTACTGTGCATATTACTTATTGTATTATAGCTCGTTTGTTTGTTGTCTCTCTCGTCCACTAGGTTGTATATTCTGAAAGGATAGGAATTTATCTTCTTCCCACTAAAAGAGTAAATACTTATTTGTAGGCAACACTTAGATCTGGTGTAACACTATGCTGTATTGGTCCATCATTCCCTAATTTAAAAACACAGATGATCTGAGGCAAAGAAGTCCTGCTGCTTTGATCCTCCGTAGAAACTGAGGCAACAGTGGTGAAAGGACAAGCACAGAGCAACCCTCATGCCTGTCTCCTTTTCACCCCTGATGCACTTCCCATGAGCAGGTGAATCCATGCCCAGTGCTGCCCTTTTGTTGAAGCACAGCAGTCTGGCAGCTTGTTATCTAAACACCTTCCTGTATTTCCTGTCACCTATCAGCAACACGTGAATAAATGCATAGTCACAAGAAACACCCTAACATTTAGGTTCAGATGAAAATGTGCTATGAGGCTAGGGAGATGGCTCAGTGGAATAAGTGCTTCCCTGGCAAGTACAAGGGCCTGGGTTCAATCCCCGGTACCGCCAAAAAAAAAAAAAAAAAGAAAAGAAAAGAAAAGAAAAGAAAGTGCTGATTCAGCAAATACTACTGAAAACCAGGTACGCTATTTATGTTCTCTAACACATGTACAAAATATTAACATTATTTTCCAAGATACTAAACAGTAAACCCCAAAATAGAGTCCCAAGTATTAGGTAAGAAAAGCAACAGTACTATTTTCAATTCAAAAAATGTTCAAGTCTATACATACCTTCCTTCAGGAGGCTGTAGCAAAACAAGCGAGCTCTTGCCAAGTCTCCCAGCTGCCGACAAATACCCACATACACTCTACAGAGGGCATGTGTGTAATTGTGCTCCACGGACACCTTCTGAGTCTTTAGTTCTGAGAGAATGGAGCGAAGCAAGCACTCTGCTAAATGCTAGATTGGAAAGAAAAAAAAAAAAAAACACAAAGTACATCATGTCTGCATTTTGCCTATCGAAAAGGCTAGTGTAAGTATCACAACTAATGTACCTACCAGAAAAATGTAACATGCACAGTATCAGGACCACAGTGCTGACAACAACTTGCTTAGCCTGCTAAAATACCAGCACTGACAGGGGCAAACTCTCCATGTCATCCCTTTACTGTGGTTGGTAAGGCCACGGAGGCCACAGGCCAAGTCTCAGGAGACCTAGCTGCCCACTGTCACTACCACCTCAATAAGTAACAATCTCCTGGGCTTTGCCAAAACACTCTGCCCTTGCTGAGCCTCATCTAAGCCTGCTCCTACTCTCGTTTTCTGCACCTACTGCTTAGATAATAAAATACCGGGTGACATTTTCCTTCTTTAGGAAGATCACTAAATGATCCTCCTTCACTCAAAAAATCCCTCAAAAACCAAAAGGCACCTCTTCAAAGAAAACAATGGTACCTCAGTTAATGAACTTCATTCTTTCCACAATTCTGTTCACAACTTAGACAAGAACTGAACCAAGTTCAAGGTTAGGGTCAATGTTTTTTTTGTGTGTGGTACCAGGGATTGAACTCAGGACCTTGCGCTTGCCAGGTAAGTGCTTACTCTACGGAGCCATCTCCCTGGCCCCCAATGTTAACCTCGGGGAGATCTGATTTAGTTCTCAAATTTGACTTAGCTCTGGTCCAGTTCAGTTTTCAATCAAAATCATGGAAAAAATTGAGCTTGTGAACTGAAGTGCCGGTATAAGAAACGAAGTATGAGCGCCATGAGGACTCCAGGGATGTGCAGATGAGCACTGCCCTACGAACCATCGAGCGGGGGAAATCGTAGGAATCACTGGGGAGCTGGAAAACGCCAAGCTCCAGCAGCTCTACCCAGGCCTGTGTGTAAGTCTGCATAATCACTTTCCTCCCGTTTCACCCATGGCATTCATCACTGGGAGTCCTGCCATAAGATTCTCCCTGCGAAGCACATGCACTGCTATAAACTGACTGTTTTCTAAAACTTTAACCTATTCCATGTGTAAAAACTATCAAATATTTTGTGTTTTATATTTTAAACTCTATAATGCAAGCTAGCAGTATTTGCCTTGGTGTTCACATGGATGATTCTCAACCTTGCAATGAAACTTCTGTTCAGGGTCCTCTGGCCATTTTGCAGACAGCAGAGGACCCTGCCTTGGAGAACCTGAAACTCTGACACACTTAAAGAAAAGCAGGCACATACCTTCTTTGTTGTGCTAAATTCATAAACAACTTCCTTCTCTTGGTCTCTCATGACAGGCTTTTTGGAGATATTTCCCACATACACGTGACTACGAATGACAGGCAACAGATCAAAGGAAGACTCGGCAATCTTCTTCAGTGCGTGAGCTATGGCTTTATCATGTGACTCCACTGTTTCTTTTGGACTTACAGCGATCTGGGACACAGGACAGGTTGCTGTGGCCGCGCTGCCTTCCTGCTCTGTGGGCTCTACTTCAGGCTGAGTGGAGTTGCCTGGGGTCTTCTTGGGGCTGAGCCTGGCAGCAGTCCCTGTGATTTCTGGTTCTGGGGACTCGCTGTCCAGGCGCAACCTCTTTGCACTCCTCAGAGTTGAAGCTGATAATGTTCTCTTCACCCCCAAGTCCTGCTGAGTCCTCAAATCTCTTGCCCTGTCCTGGTTACTGTCACCACCAGAGTTGCCTCCCGTTTTGACAAAAGCAGTTTTTGAGGAAGTGATTGCCTTCAACCCTATCAGTGCACTCACAGGCCCTGGTAAAGTCTTCCCATCTGCAGACGAACTTCGAGACAGCTGGAGATTCCCTTTGAGGAGGTTGAGGGTCCGAGCCCTAGCAGATAACTCTGGGTACATGGTATCGAGGATTTTCACAGAGTTCTCCTGAGGGCCGCCCACAGCCGTGGTATGGGCAGGTGCACAGGGTGGCAACCTGCCTGGCACAGGAAGCGCATGCTTTGGTGTGGCTGCACAAAACTGCAAAGGAGAGGTTACAATCCTCCCTGCAGCCCCTGCAGTGGCAGTGGAGGGAGACGGAGAAGGCCCTGGCGGTGAGGCTAACCCAGGGTCTTCCGGCCAAGGAGACAACACAGGCGGCGCTGCGACCTCACAGGAGGGAGACATCAGGTCCGCAGGAGAGGATGGGGGACTCGGGCTGGGCAGGGACAGCAGAGGTGAGAGGGGCTGTGAGGTCCGCGGAGGTGTGGCTACAAGGGGTGCAAGCAAGGGCGGCAGAGGCGGCCCCACCTCCTGCCGGATCTTGCTCAGCGTGTCCAGAGGACAGTCTGTGGGAGTGGATGTGTCAGCCTTTGCCAGAATGGGTTGCAACTGCCCTCGGGGAGTCTTTGTGGTACTTTTGTCCCCAGAACCTGGCTGGGCAACTTCACTCTGACGAGTTTCACCTCTGCCGGGCACTAAAGCTTTTGCTGGTTTGTTGGGCTGATCTTTGCTGGGAATCTTTGGTCGACTCTTATTTTTCCCAGATGGTTCTAGTTTCGAGTTATAGTATGTGTGATCAGAGGTGACGTTCAGAGTCTCAAAAGTCTGATCGTATATTTGAGATCTGATCCAGATACTAGGCTTGACAGGTCTGTTCCGCAAACGGCTCTTATCAAAGTTGGAGTTCTGCCCGCTGCTGGAGACATCCTCCGAGCCACCTGAGACACTGCCACACAGAGGCTCCTGCAAGGCAGGGCCAGGGAAACTGGTCTCTGGAGACCTCTCTAAAGGTGCAAGGGAAACAAAAGCAGCCTCCAGCCCTCCCTGACCTTGGGAAACAGTGACATCTCCAGGAGTCTTACACAGTGTGACCTGCTCCATGTCTGGGGACACTGTGACACTACTGGCGTCCATCCAGCTGTACCCCTCCTCCATGACCTCAGTCTGTGCCTCAGTTATCAGGCTGTTCATGACTTCTGAGACTGCAGCGTGCATCTGACACCGAAAGGCTCCATTGGCCTCACAGCCAGTGCTCTGCATGGTCCTGACCTCTGGAGCTGCAGGTTCTAATGGGCCCTTCTTGTGGGTGGCTAGCCAGGTGGCCTCAGGACTGTCCTCGGGTGTGTTCTCAACATGCTCAGCATGAGATCCACTCCTTGCAGGGCAGCTGCCTCTCCCATCTAGGGCAGAGGCTGGCAGGGGCAGCTCCAGGCCATGGGAGGTCACTTTCTGAGGTGGAACTTTTTCTTTCAAATCTTCCACTGTCAGGCTGCTATACATATTTAAGAGCAAGGCATTACCAGTATTGTTACCACTGCAGTCCTCACAGCTTGTTTCAAGTTCTCGTCCAATTCTGGCGAGAACCTCAGACTGCACTTCCAAGGAGCACTGAGCAAGGGGACTGGGTGCTTTCAAAGAACAGTTCTCCTCCTCAGCTTTGATCCACTCTGTGGGGCTTGCAGGTGTCTCTTCTTCACAGGGCTGCTTGTCACACCTTTCTCCTGAGAGTCCACTGGGCTTTAACTTTTTGTCCACGTCTTTCCTTTGGGTTCCCTTAGTAGAACATTCACAAACAGAGTCTCCTGAGCTATAGTCCCTTAACTGACAACTCTCAAGAAACATGAGGACCCCTGTTGTGGAAAGCGTGTCTATGTCAGGAGAAGGACTAAGGTTAAACTCCTGCAGTGCTGAGGTCAAGTCAACCAGCTCTAGGGAAGCTCCCGTCTCAGGTTCCCCAGCCTCAGTGTCCCTCAAAGCCTTTGGGACATCACCCACTGTGCCCTGTGATCCCCTGCCCACCCCGTCAGCCTCCAGCTCACTCTCACTGCAGCTGAACAAGCTCTCGCTCCCCTCTACCTCGCTGTCCTCCCTGGCCTCCCGAATCCTTGCACAACACAAGGAGGAATCCAGGAGACTGCTTTGGGAAAGATCCTGAATCTCAGTTTTGCTGCATAATGGTGATGAGAAAGTGATGCCGGTGGTGACAAAGCGTTCTGGGAAAGCAGCACCAGGCGTTCCAGATGTCACCTTGGAAGGCTCCCGAGTGTCCTGTATCGTGCTGGTGGAACTGCAAGCACAAGCCAGGATCTCAGAGCTCAGTGTGCCAGTGTCTCTGCAGAGTGCTTCCTCCACAGGGCAGTCTCCCGTCACTGCCAGTTCAGCTGAGAGCCCCTCCACCCTGCAGGGGTCCAGGCCCAAGAGGGGAGGAGACAGATTCGGTGCCTGGGCCTCATCCTGCAAGGCAGTGTCCCTTGAATCCTTCTGGTTGCTGGGAAGCATGTCTTCAGAAGAGAGAGGTACTTTACCATCCACAGAAAAATCCAAATGTCCTGCTGGTAAAGAACCACTCAGAGGATCAAAATCTTTTCTCCAAGAGGAAGAAGCTTCCAGCACATTGCTTTTCTGGGTGGCCACTTCCTTGATGTTTCCAGTTGTATCCTTCCCTTCCCCACCAAGTTCTGCTGCAGATCCTGTCTCCTGGCTTCCGTCATCACGGTTTTCGACGGCTACGTTTGGCTCCTTCCTGCTTAGTGACAAGTGTTCTGAGGGAGCACTCTGAGTCTTCTGGGGTCTTGCCTGCTTTGTGATGACGGATACCTGATTGGGCAGCAACGAAGTGGCAGCCTTGAATTCCACAGGACTGCTGCTTTCTCCAGAAACCTGAGGCACAGCTGCTGACCCTCTGCTCTGCAGAGTTGGTGCTGCCACTTCAAAGTGATGGTTGCCCTTTTGTCCATGCTCCGAGGCTGCTCTTGGGCTCTCTCCACTTCTCCTTAATAAATCACTATGCTGCCACGAAGTGCTGTTCACAAAACCAGAGCTGCTCTTGATCAAGCTTGCCTGTGAATCTGTTAATGAAGTCAAATCTGACTTCTGTAGTGTGAGCTCTATTCTTGGATCCTGAATTTCACAATGTCCATCTTTTGTCACCTTCCTGAACACTGACTGAGGAAAGGAGTATATTTTAGTCAAATCTTCTACAACTTTTGTACATTCTGTCTCCCTGATCTTCTGGTCATTCAAAGTAGGTGCTCGTGATATAGGACTCAAAGCATTGCTCTCCGGGTCACTTTCCTGCACAGAATGTTCTCGTGGCTCAGCTTGCAGTAGTGTTTTTAAAGATTGAGTCTGTAATTTTTGTTCCAAATGGTGCAGTTCAGGAGAGATTACTTTAGTTGGAGTATCTGCCTCACTAACATGCTCTAACTGTGAAGACTGAGGATTACTGCAAACAGACACTGGTACTGAGGTAGAAATGGAAGAAAACCCAGCTCTAACACTGAGCCCTTCTGGACCCATTGCACCACCTGTGTCATCGCTGTCATCCTCTGGTTCAGGCGAGTCTTCTGAAGTGGACCCCTGCATATCCTCCATGTCCATTTCCACTTCTCTAGATAATCTCTGTTCAGGGCCAGATCCGGTTACACATTCTGCCTCCAAAGTGATTTGATCAGTATGTGCCCACTCGGTAAATTCTGCTGTGTGGGAACCTATTATTCTAGATGGCAAGGATACACTTTCAGATTCGAGTTCATTCTGTGGCCTCCTGCAAAGGAGAGACTGCCCAGTGGCTTCGTCCTTCTCCTGCCCCAGACTGCTGCACAAGCTCTCACTCCACAGACTCCTACCAGGTGTGGGGCATGTCCTGTCAGCTTGCAGGGATTCAGCTCTCTCTCTGACTCCCTCTGGTCTCCCTACCTCACCCAACACATCTTTTGTTCTATCACTCTGCAGTCGAGATGACGCCATCCGGAGCTTTTCCCAAGCCACAGCAGATGTGCCTGAAGGCTCTCTCAGCGCCTCTGAGAACATCACTAGCCCACCTGCTGTCGCCTTATTCACTTCCAACTTATTTAGAGCTGGTATAGTTTCTTGTAACCTGGGTTTTTCTTCCCATGCACCACTTGCTTTATTTTTTCTGGATAAACCAAAATAATCCCGTGAATCAGTGACATCATCTTCAGAAACAGAGTCAGAAGAATTTCTAGGATAAGTGGAGTCATTGTCGCTGGAATCTGTGTATTCTCCAAAGTAGGTTTCCTGAAGGAAGGAGAAGTGCACCAATCAGACCCCGCACCAACCCGTTACTACCACACAAGATCAAGAAAAGGGCTTGCTTCCTGCAGAACTCTTATCCCAATTGAGAAAAAGAACCCAGGTCCAGCACATGACCAGGCAAGGCCAACCTCTGGCCCAATGCTGGTTTACCCTCTTCCTAAAGAAGCTTCCCAACCATCCTGGCTCTTCCCCTACCGCTGCTCACCTTGGACAATATGTCCCGCACACAGGGCCAAAGCTGCCAGGCCTCTCCATTCCCACATTCCTACTTCCACACTCACCTCCTAGTCTCCCAGTAAACATGGCCTGGGCTCCAAGGCCCTCTTTCTTCTCCCCAGACTTCTGCCTAGGGAGGCTCTGGGCCCAGGCTCTCCACAGCTCTGGGGCCCTCACACACCACAGCTGCCCCAAGGAGTAGCTCTCTCCCTCCCACACTGTCCTCCAAAGCCCTCAGGCCCTTCTCACACAATATGCTGTGACAGCAGCCATAGCCTCATCTGTAAGGGAAGGGGAGACTGGCCCAGACCCACAGCTCAAGCTCCCCTCTTGAATGCAGACCACTGCCATCTCTTGGTTTTCCTCTGCTGTCCAATCCCATCTTCACTCACCTCACGCCTCTTCCTGTTTCACTTACGTATCATAAGTGCCCCACGAGCAGCTCAGCCTCAATGCACCTCTGCACACAACCCCCCACTCCCTGAAGGAAGCAGTACACGTATCTGCTCCTGAAGTCAAATGACACGCAAGTATACAACACCAACACTGTCTTGCTCCAAGAAGCCACTGCAAACATTCTGCAAAAGCACTAAACGTAAATCCATCAAGTCTAAGCAGGGAACCAACCTGGCTCCACTGACTCAAAAGGCACCTATGCCATGAAGGGGATTTCCAATCACTGTGACCTTCACGCTTACAAGTATATGTTTCATTCACTCATGTGTCAGGCTCTACTGATAAAAAAATAAAAGCTTCTGGATGATCTTCCTATAGTAAACTTATAATTTGGTTGGGATAAAGACAAACAGAAGTGCAACCATACACAAAGTGAAAAGCTCACCCTACACTGATGAGTCAAAGGGCACAGGCATACCTCTTTCACATCTCACCTTACTCCCTGATAAAACTGGCTAGAATGCAGAGTTCTGTCCACGTCCTCTAATACATTCTGAGTGTCACAGACACACCAAGACAACATGCCCACGTGGAATTCATGTTAGACAAAAAACTCACAGGGGTAAGGGAAGAAGGTAAGGAGTCCAAGTGCGGTGAGGACATCCGAGGGGGTGAGGGCACTGGAGATAGAAGAGGTGGGGGAAGTTTGAAGAAGTCCATTGCAGCCTGAAGATCTTTGTCCAAAAAATTACCACGGTAAGCAAAATCAGTCCTGTCCCAGTCAGCAGGACTCCATGATAAAAGCTCAGGATTTCTGTCCTCATTAAAAACAACTCTGCTGGCACAGCGGCTCACTCCATCGGGCTGTTCTCTGTCCACACTTTGCAAGGCAGCAAAGCCAGCCTGCACCTCCGTGGACAGCTTTGCGAGGCAGGTCTGCACATCTGAGGGCCTAGGCGGGCTGCCCTGTGCTGGAGGTAGCATGTCATCTTCCCCAGATGCTCGGGATCTGGTGTCATCTTTGGCAGGTTTTTCTGAGGGGAACACAGGAATTAAATACTTTCAACATCCACAAAATTTTTAAAAAAGCACCCTTGTACCAGAAGTTCCAATGCTGGAAATAAGTCCAAGTAAGCAGAACTATTTTGTAAAAGACTATTTCCTACAGAAGTGAGATATGATCATGGGGGAAAACGAGATAACCCACCCATCAGCAGGACACACTACAGGAAGGTAACACTTTCCATTACATGTGGAACGGGCAGAAGCAATTCTGAGTATTCCCTCTGCAAATCAGTCTAAGTCCACTGGTACTCAGGAGTGTTTCTGTAACAATACTGAAAAATCTGTTCAGTGAATAGGTAGGATGATAATGTAACATTAAAAACTAAAGAGCCTTTTAGGGTCTTGATCTTGATGACCTCCAGCTGGTACTATCAGCAAAGACAAAGGATTTCACCAAATCACCGTATTATATTTGAAAGTTATAAATATGTTTTACAGAGGATGCAGAGCTTCTTGGAGAAGTGCAGTTCAGGGTTGGGAGGGAAGACATAGGTTGAGACTGAAATATCTTCACTGTCAGCAAACAACGGAATCTGAACAGGATGCGTTGTGTCTTAAGGGCCTGGGACCCATCCTGAGGAAGCGCCCAAAGTTCCAAACTGAACCAGCTTAACCATAATTATAGACCGTAGTAAATTGTAAATTATAGACCAAAGAATAAAGCAATTATGCAAACATACTAATAAATATCCGTAAATGGAAATACACTAATGTATATCAGTAAATGAAAGTGCAAATAGTGGAGAATGAAAAGCTCTTCCTTGAAGAATTCTAATTAATAAATTTTTGGAGAAAGAGAAATACAAAATGACAACTGGGCAATTCTCAAAGCAGTAATGAGAGCAGGCAAGATCCACTTGGGGCTGCTAAGTTCAGTGGGTGACAATTTGATAATACGGACCCCAATTACCTATCTCTACAATGCTCTGAGTAGAGGCAAATCACCCTATGGTGTCCTTGCCACAAACACAGGCTTAGACCAATGGGAGACAAAGTCTCAGAAGCCATGACAGTAGGCTCTCAACACATAAGACTCCCCCAAAGCATCAAGGATGTAAGGTAAGGACAAGCTGAGGAGCTGTGGAAAACATGAAAAAATGACTCCAAAAGGCCACATGTTTCTAGACAGGATCCAGGAGAGAGGAAGTCAGTGGGAAAACCTGAGAAACTCATGGGAGGTCTACCTTTAGTTAACAGGAGGATGGTACCAAATGTTCTGGTTTTGATCATCAGTAATAGAAAATATTAAAATGAAGGAATCTAGGTAAATGAATTCTCTACTCTAATTTTAATAACATTCTCATACAAAAGGTTAAAAATAGGAAAGAAATGCATTTTATAGTATAGTAAGATTCCAAAGATCCACGTTCTCCATTTCACCTTGTAGAAGTTAACATAAGCAACAAACTTGCCACTAGAAGCTTGCTTTAAATAAAAACATCAGTTTATTAAGTAAGAGTCAGTCTTTCTAATAATTTCTTGAATAGTACAAAAGTGCTTCAGAGACAATTACTGACTGGCACAAAAGGTAGAAAAGAATCCTCAGGCTATGTGTGCATGAACCACCCATGGAAACACTAAACAGCAGAGACTAAGCCAGCAGCCAGTACCACCTAGTTCCTTTCAATGTCATTACCTGCTAAGGGAAATGATGGAGAAATGTGTTTAAAAGAACCCCATCAAACGTGCCTCTTTGCAAGTCTGAATGCAGCCTCAGCAAAAATTAGCAACTTGCCATTAAGGGAAGTCATCTGAAGTTGGAGAGAAAATCAGCTAATTAGGTACACCGCATATTCAGACAAGATGTAGATCCTCAGCGACAGCTGAAATCATAGCAACAGCCAGCTTGCTTGCCTGCCTGTTTATTTACTTATCTGTTTGCATATTTACTTATCGTGGTACTAGGGATTAAACATGGGGCCTTCACAGTGAGCTACATCCCCCCACCCCATTTTTTTCTGTTGTTCATTTTCAAGACAGGGTCATGCTAAGTTACTGCGTTGCCCAGGCTGGGTTCAATCTTGCAGGCTACCTGCCTCAGCCTCCCACAGTGCAGAGCTCACAGGCCTGTGCCATCACATTAGCCCACAGCAGACTTCTCAAGAAATTAGTCACATAACAGGCTGTTCACCAAGAAGCACTTTAGTCTTGTAGAAGTGAGCTATCTTTTCTTCCTTTAGAAGGAGTGGCTATTATTTCCAAATTTAACATTCTGAATGCTTTACAAATGACAACATAGCTGAAAATCTTCATATCTAACTGCAAGTGAACATGTCTGACCAAAGGAGCTGGTAAATTATATGAGAAATGATTCAAACTCCTCATAGGTAATTAAACTCATGACTTAAAAAAAAAAATTATCCTTCAGTCTTCTACATATACCTGCTGGCTTTTTGTCCTGGTTTCTTTGAATGTACTGATAAAAGCTGTACTAAAATAGTAAAAGATAAATGTTTTTACTGAAATATTAAGTCACAATGAAGGAAAAGCACTTCTGCAGAATCAAAAGTAAACACAACTCATTCCTTTAGACTCAGGGGATGTTCAAAGGTTGTGACATGTGGTAAACATGTCCACATTCACATATGAAACATGTCTTCCTCACCTGTCACACATCTGTTGCCTTCGCCAGGCAGTCTGTGTGCTGAGTTCACACAGAGCCAGAGTTCCTTCAGCAGCAGTTTCACTTTCCCTGTGAGAAAGAATGCAGCACCAGGTCATGTCACTTGGCCCAAACTATGCAACGCCCACACATAACCCTGTGAAATCAGGATTAAGGACTCAGAAAGCTGGTATGGAAACTCTTCCTCCACTCAACCAAGAGCACAACTCAGTTACGGATGGAAAGGTCTGCCATGTTAGCTAAAATTAAAGACTCAAAATATTCGTTTTAAATTTTCAGTGCAGGCCAGCAAGGGGAACCGTCAAAGAGCCAATCTAAGTGTTGGTGAAGGCTTTTTGTCACCTTTATCTACACAAGGGACAAATGACTCTTTGGCCTGCACACTCTCCCCAGAGTGCTCTGAGGTGAGCAGAGAACACACAGCCACAAGGTACAATACAAAGGACAAGGGCTACAGGCATTTTATATGAACAGAAAAGAAGTATCCCTCGGTTAGATGAGACTATCAGAAAAGTTACCAGCTGACCATGCTGTAACGAACCTGAGGGAAAGCCATCAACAGACTGGAGGGAGATGAGTAGTGACAAAAGGTGCTGGTGTGAGCACAGACACAGAGCAAGCAGAGAGCACATGCTTCCTAAAGACAGTGAAGCCGCCAGAATTTTTATAAATTATCAAAGGGATCTAGATTCCTTAAGTATTTAACTACTACTATCAAGTCGAAAGGCCAGCAAAAGCTGTAATCAAGAAAGCTCTAGGAAATTCGAGAAAATATAATGTTAGGGATTTAAAGTGGTTTTAAGTATACAAATTCCAAAAATACCTTCCAAAGCAAAAACAAAAAATATAAATATGTATAGCATATGATGAAATACACATTTAAAAAATCCATAATTAAAAGTCAACTAAAAGGAACTTTAAGTATTGGATAATTTCAATCCACTTCAAATTCCTATTATTGTTTCCTTAAATTTCTAAATTAACCTTAAACATTTATTACAATTAGTATTTAATCCAGTTCAAGAGAAGATGAAAAGGTCAACTTTTTAAACCAAAGTATTTCCAGATAATCAATCACAGATTTTAAAATCGGGAAGTCCCATTTAAGATGAACTGTGTCACTCCAAACTGAAGTCCACAGAAAGGGGACCAGCACACTCGTGCAGGATACAGTTATGAACAGTTCCCAATAGCTGGACATTAGCCACCTCTCCTAAGCCAAATTGGCCTGTTTATCAGCGCATTTGAGGAACATCCACCTTTGTTTCCAAAAGTCTGTGATTCAGTAGCTTATCTACAGTGTGATTTAACCTACCCAAAAGCCTGCTTCCAAATACTGTAATCCCCTTTGCTTAAATGACCTGACCAGGATCCCTGCTTATTACGTATACCCAAAGCAGCAAACAAGGAACCTTAAAAAAAAAGAAAAGAAGTTACTTTTCCATTTTTAATGGGACCTAATAACGAGCTATGCCTAATCTCATTGAGCACTCATTACTTCTGATCTAACCCCCCCCAAAAAGCGATCCATTCCCAACAAAGCAGAAAAAAACAAGTGTGGCTGCACAACTTAGCTTATGTAAAGATAAAATTTCATGAGGTGAACTGCACAGCTCTCTTTACACCTCTCCTTAATCTTTAAAAAGTTTCCACTATCAACATGTAAGGCACTGAAGAGTATTTCTGGGCTTTTCCACTCCACTGCTTTCTCAGTTTCTGTATAAATAACACTTCTTTAATGTTAATACCGATAATTATGCTGTTAGGGTATCATCTTTGCTTTCCCCTTTCAAAAATTTTATTATCCTGAACATCTTTTTCTCCTGATACAACTTTCACTGCCTATTTTTTCTTTTCCACAGGAAACCCCACTAGGGTTTGCAGCAGGGCTCATATCGTCTGTATGTACTGAGGGGAGAGTCACCTCTGCACACTTGGAGTTTTCCCCTCCAGGAACATAACCTTCGCATGCTTTCAGGCCCTTAAAACTGTTTCCGGGACATCTCACAGGAGCCCTGCGCACTGCTCTGTGGCTCTTCCTAAGAGTGGGCAGCGGAAGCCCTTGAGGACACACAGCTCCTTGCCCCGAGGGCCGCAGTGCAGCGTTGTGGGGCACGCCTGCCCATGCGCCTCTCCCCAGCCCCACCATGTTTCCAGGGGAGTCTTCCGCAGGCGCACATCACGAGCAGCTCTGACTCTGCTCCTTACATCCACAGTGCCTGCTGTTCTGCTCACTTGGCCACACTGGTTAGGGTCGTCATTGCATACAGAATTAAAGTAACAGAGAATCCTTGCCTTGTTTCTGACAATAAGACTGTGTTTTTAAAGCTTTACTTTCCTTAAGCTCAAACTCTTACCATCTCACCAAATTACTCTTTTTAAAATTAGGAAGAGGTGGTGAACTGGGATGAACATGGTGTTTTCTCAACCCACGGTGATACCCTTCAGAATCTGTATCTAAATAATAGATTGGATCCTTTAAAATTTTAGTTAGTATTTTTGTAGTTCTGTTATCAAGTAGCAAAGAGTTCTAAGAGTCTACAGAATATGCATTAATGTTACTCATATTTTACTGCAGAGTGACATTAGCTTAAGAAATATGGATGAAACACTCCATATATTTTAAGTTCTAAAACAATAAATTAATAATGAAGACATTACCTTTAACCCACTGAAGCTTGTTCGTATTGTTTTGTGTGACAACGTCTTGCTATGTAATACAAGCTGTCTTGAGCTCACTGAGTAGCCCAGGCTGGCCTCAAACTCATCATCCTACTTTGGCCTCCCAACTGCGGGGATCACAGGCATGCACCCCCATACCTGAAGTCTTTTTTTTTTTTTTTTTGGTAGAACCAGGGATTGAACTCGGGCCCTTGCACTTGCCAGGGAAGCACTTACTCTACTGAGCTATCTCCTTGGCCCCCAGAAGTCTTTAAAGAGCATAACCGTAAACACCCTGGATCAATGATGGTGTCAGAATCATTTCTAAAAACTTCTCCAGGGTTATATTCTGTTCAAGTTTGCAACAATCACCAAGTCACTATCAGCAGGTTTCCCTAGAAGATGATCCATTTCACCTACTTCTCACATTTCAATATGAAGCTTAGAACTTAAAACGCCAACGCTGCTTTATAGCATTCACAGTCTTGGTGCTACTGGGTTTTTCTCTCTCAGGCACACTTGTCAGCTGTTGGTCTCATCAGCACTACAAAGCCATCAGTTTCAATGTTCCACCTCTAACATGCTGCTTCCCTACCTCATCCACTAATGAGAGTGGAAGTGTGGCTTTTTATTAGGATCGCATATTAAGTTATAAATATTTTGTTGCATATAATCCAACTTTCATAAATTTCTGAAGTTATTTTAAAGATACAGTGTTCATGGAGTCATAGGTAAATCATCAACTGGGCAACTAATTGCATCTCTTGTCCGCTTCCACTTGGTATTTCTGAAAATACACTGAAGTCTCTTGTGATAAAGATCTGGTTACCCCTATAATCTTCCAGGTTTGTGTTGTTTGGTTGGCTTGACACAGTTTGACATTCTTAGGTCCATCAGAACAGTATCTTCTAGGGAAACTGCACTTTTAATATGCTTAAGGTTCTCTTTTAATTGATGTAATCTTGTTTCTAAAATTAAAATGATCTTTTTGTTTCATATCACTGCTTTCACGTTAGCACTGCTTAGAGTACTTTATCACTCTGCATTCAAAGTCCTCTCATTTGGCTTGGGTCTATTTCCTACCAACACGTTAGAGGGGACCTTATACACAACAGTCATGCTTACCACTTGAGAGGCCCTTTCAATGGGAATAATATGTATTCTACGTTTCTGCCCAGGGAAATTTCTTCCAATTATTCTTGGTCCTCCCTCTGAGAAGTTCTAAAAGATGAATACAGAGACCTGGCTTCACCCTTCAATTCTTATAATTTCTCTAACACTTTTTGTCTCTTACTACTTCTCAGGATTTAATCTCTTGGTTCACTATATCAATCTTCTTTGTCCATTCAACATTTAGCTTATTCAGTGAGTTTAATTGTAGTATTTTTTTATTTTTTATTTTATTTTATTTAGAAACAAACAGTAATGAGACAGTTTCAAAACTGATTAATAGGACAATTTCAGTAATACATTGTATTGTTATCTTCTTAGTGGTTATCCATAGTTCAAGAAGCAGACAGGATATCCTGTCCAAACACTATTAGCACAAATCTTTCTTCTCATTGAATTAAGCGAAAGTAGCTGTATATCTATCCTAACTATTCTGTATATACAAATACAAAATGGTCCTTCCTTTGTATCCCCTTTTTTTGTTTAGTCCTGTCAGAGATGGGTATTCCATTGGAATCTAAATACTATAGGTGCGTGAATTCAGCAAAACAATATGTAACAGAAGAGTCACGCTTGGAATGCTTGTCATTCTGGTCTTCTAAATATGTACTGCTTGTCATGACATACCAATTATTACCATACTGTCTCTCAAGTAAAAGTTTGTTTGTTTTTAATTGTAGTTTTAATTGTCAACATCCCAAATGGTTCAACCCATGGCAGCAGCCTCTGGGAACACACTTAGACTTTCTCTAAAAATTCCAATCCACTTTTTAACATTTTCATCCCATCCAAGATTTTAATATTATTTTCTTCAATCTTTGTGTGAGGTTCCTTTCTTGTCATTGCCTTTCTGCGTGCGTGTGTGTGTGTGTGTGTGTGTGTAGCTGAGTTTAAGCAAAACAGCTTTAGTAGCCAAATTCCTCTTTCAGCCTATATTTTTTTGTCTTATTCCTTTAACAATAAATGTTGGTTCAGTTTCATAAACCTATAGAACTCTTAGGGGGACCGGGGAGATGGCTCAGTGGAATAAGCACTTCCCTGGCAAGTGCGAGGGCCTGAGTTCAATCCCTGGTTCCGCCAAAAAAAAAAAAAAAAGAACTCTCCCTGTTTGGATGGGGGTTACATTCAGTAAATGCAACTCTGAGAATCTAGAAAGAGGATATAAATCCTTCAGTTTTTGCGAGCAGGAGTGGCTACCCCTCAAAGCGGCCACAATGACCAATCTGATAACCACAGGTCATCCAGAGGCCTTTCACATCATGGCTAGCACTTTAGAAAACTGCACTTGAGTCAGAGTCTTTCGGCAAACGCCACAAACAGTTCCTGAGTCCTGAATGTTGCCACACCTTCGTCCTTCCATCCATCACCCTGACACCCTGCCCCTTTTCTCATTCCTTTCCCTGCTGACTTGAAAAATTCCAGGCTTCTGGTATGAAGCCAACTAGTTTGAGAGCTGCCATTTTCTCTGAAGGCGTTACCTTCTGCAAAATCTTCCTCACTAGTTTTCGCTAGTGATTAATGGTACAATCTTTATACAAGGGAGTCATTCTCTTTGTAATTTGGGTGATTTTTATTGGAATTTGAAAGGAAGGAAAGATAAAGTAGCACTCAGGCAGCCATTTTTCAAAGAGAAGTCCACTCAATACTCTTTAGTGCCAAACTTCCACATTTCTTCCAGAAGTCAAATATTAATGGTACATATAACACCTGTTACACCATCACGGAATTAAATCAAGCAAGGTCCACAGCTGACTCCATGTACTTATTTACTTAGAAAAAGTCAAATGTACAAAAGGAAATAGTCCTGTCCTCATTATTAGGGCATGTAAATATACAAGTACAATGATTTTACTTGAGATAGCAACAAGTTCTATATAATATTAGGGTGGAGAGCAACTGTGAGCAGGGGCAGGGAGAAAGAGCCTGTTTTGTACATTCAGGCCTAAACAAATCTGCTTCTCCCGAAATCAGGATTCCCTTCTACAGCTGACTACAGGCTAGGACAGTGAGGTGCTGCCCAGCCACTGCTCTCAGCAGTGCCTGCCACTCAGCCTCGCCTGCCACACAGAAGACTACTGCAAGAACACCCAGCCGGAAGCACAGGCTTACACATTAATGACAGTGATTAGTGACAAACCAGTGCCCAGGCAGCTGAAAACTGTGAACTGTTAAAGACAGGCAAGTAAAACATGAACTTATTCTCTGAATTTAAAAAAATATTAAGAGGACAGAAAAAAATGTAAAGGTAATTTCTTAGGAGATACTATATAACTGGTCACAAAAATTCAGGGTTTTAATAAATTTAACTTAGAAAAAAATAACAAGTGAGGTGAAAATATCATTGTTTATTAAGCATTTTAATTTGTCCAAAAAAAAAAAAAAAAACTTGTGGGATAAACAGAAATTCAAATTCATAATCTCATTTTCTAAAAAAGAGGTTTTAGAAAAGAAAAAAAGTAAGTGACTTCAGGTGAAACAGAAGCACTGAGGTGAAAATTGCAAATTTTTCTCATCTTCAAAAGTCATCACATCGTCTCCTTATTAATGAGTCACTTGATAAGGACATGTATAGATATATATTTGCTTTTTTTGTGTTTTGTTTTTTCTACAACTACGACTATTTCACTCTTCCTTTCAACTTTGGGTCTTCCCTAAACAATTCTGTCCAGAAGATTAGAGTTTTGATTTTAGTTTTTAGTCTGAGTTTGTATTTGACACACAAGAAACTTAATGAATTATCTCATAAATTTATAAGCTAGCATGAAAACCTGTACTTATTGAAAACTATGGGAATTTTATCTCCAATTAGATTCTTTTTTCCTAAATAGTTATCTTTTAAGTCTTTCTTCTGATGCACTACTTTATAGGAGTACAATGATTCCACACAGAAAGTATATGGATCTAATGACCACCTAAAATAAAATATGATTTCTAACATGAAACATCTTCCAAGTTCTAGCATCTTAATAATTACGTGCAGGAGCAACACGCAGCCCCAAACCACTAAAAGTAACACACAGGAGTGAGACCACAGCCCCAGCATACTTACTTCTGTCTATGCTTCCGTATGAGTCACTTGAAATTTGTGTTCCAATATGTCTCAATTCTAAAAATGTATGGGAAAAAGTTTTAAAAACAATGGATTTCAAAATAGAATTTTAAAGTAAGCATTAACTTATACTCACCCTTTCCACTTTTCTGTTTAGAAAACTCGTCAAGCCTTTCCTGTGGAAACAAAGCATCGGCAGTGTTTACACAGTGTAAGAAGGTGAAAACTGGACCAGGGTAAAACGAGCCATCGTAGGGGCGATTACCAGGCCTTGTGCCTGGCTCCTGCTGCAGCCAAAGCGTGAGAACCCCCACCCTGCAGCTGGGATGCCAAGTGTGTGCACACTGTTCATCCAGTACCTGTGTCTTCTTGAATTCCTTTTCAAGTATTTTCTTTTCATTTCTCAGTTGCTTGAAGTCCTGAGTTTGCCTGACAGCAGCCTCTGCATTTCAAAGTGCAGTAAAGCAACACAGAGAAAAATTAACTCACTCACTTTACTATGATGGTTAATGAACTACCCCAAATGTAACCTATTACACATTTTTCTCATTTCTGAAAACTCTTGAAACTAACGTCACCAAAAGCTAACTGCTGTAGGAGTGCTTTGTTTCAGCTGGCCACTTGTGAAACTACACAACTGCACAGGGCTCCAGGGTCCTTTGCAAACAGGCCCAGCAATCCCAATCCTGCCAGCCAGCCAGCGAGGATATGGTACACAGCAGCAAGGGAGATGCCCCGGCACGCCTGCTGTTCTCATTCCAGAAAGCACAGTAATCTTGGTTCCTCGGGGCTGTAATTTCATCTCAGAACTTGCTAATACCCTCTTCTTTATCTCCTAGTGCACAGACAACTTTCTTGATGTTTGCTACAGATACTGTTATCTTTCCCAGAATTCCCTTCAAGAAGTTCACCCTAATTCCAAATAGCTGTTTTAGAGATCAACTCTTTAGGCACTTCGATAGTTCACTCCAGTGCTTCATTCTGAATCACCAACTAGTCTACATGCTATTAAGAATCTGACCAGTACTGACTTTTCCAGGTACACTCATACACAATTGCTGAGAAAAGTAAACTCCCAAAACACCACAGTAGCAATTCTCTCCTGACTAATTTAACAAGTTTAAGTATTTCTTTCCTCAATAATCTTCATTAAGCTGTCATTTATAAAAGAAATATAAATTTGTATAAGAAAAACATAGGCTGCATTGTTTCACAGGAAGTCTGTTCTTAAAACTATGTGGACAATCTGCCAGGTACTGAGTTCACCAGGACTCTAGGCACATGTCCTCAGACACTCATCTCCGCATACTAGAAAGAAGACAACAGCAGTGCTGCATCACTGCCCACGGTCAACGTCCCTACGTAACTCAATCAGAGGAAAACGTCCCTGAAGACATTTACAGTTTTAAATCTAAAAAACAATTAGCTCAATTTAGACAGAGTGACAGGGAACACTTCCAGCAATTACTACTCTACATGGGCCAAGGCAACGATATTGAAACTCCTACTTTGTACCCTCCATAAAAGCAGACACTATCAGTGTGAGCTCTGGAGGCCCACACTGGAACAGGAAAGCATGCGCAGGGATGGCAGGCCGAGTCTGGGTTTTTACTTCCTTTTATATACACATCCCTGCACTGGAGAGCAAAAGCAAAAAGAAAGATCCTGATCCCATTCCTAACCCCTGCAAGGGCTGCAGGCTGGAATGGGAGGGCCAACACGTTGCGATGTACTCTTTGTGCACTCTGCCCACTGATGAAGACTACACGCCCCTAACCTGACAGTGGAATGTGGGGAAGACCAGGGATAAATGGAACAGTCCAGGGGCCGGGGAGATGGCTCAGTGGAATAAGCGCTTCCCTGGCAAGCACAAGGGTCTGAGTTCAATCCCCAGTTCCACCAAAAAAAAAAAAAAAAAAAATTGAACAGTCCCCAGCATAGGGAAGTCCACCAAAACCCCTCAGTGGGTATTGCATCTGTCAAAATGCTTTGTTTCCTGTTATGAAAAGCAGCAACCCTTTCGAGTAATAACTTGTTTCACTAGGGGAAAGTGGGAAAGCCCCACAAAATTCAAGTTTCACAAGTGAATCAGTTCATTAACTGCTGCTATTATTTTGAGGACAGTACTTATTGGGACTGCCACACTTCTCCTCTGCTTCCGGGTCTGATTACTGACAGGAATGAAATAGGTGGAGCCCTTCCCCATAAGCCCTAACTGAAGTCCTTCAGGGAAGTGCTGTCCAAGTTCACAACCACTTCATAACGTGGCCTGCTCTACAACCTCACATGGGTACCAAGGACTCACAGTGACCAGTGGCTCCTAGGAGCCAGGTAACAATGGTATAACCCACCTTCCAGCTTCTTCACCTTAGCTTCCAGTTTCTTCTTTCTAGTAACAGAATTACATAAGTTAAACAGCAAAACACACTAGAATGTTAAAAAAAAACTGACAGTTCATGATGTTAACTTTAATTTCTGAGAGTGGTATGACACAAATTTTCAGTTAAAACTAGTATCACATGTCAATAACTGATGTTACTCATTTAGGGTTTTTTTTGGACCGAAAAATCAAACTTAGGACCTTGTGCCTGCCAGGCAGGGCTTGTACTGCTGAGCTATAGCCCAGTCCCCAAATGAAATTACCAGCCACTGTTCTTATGGTCAAATAAACCTAAACAAGAACACTGTCACTTAATGTGAAGCATCTCTGAAATGGATTTATGGAAATCCATTATTTTCCACAGGAGAAGCAAGACATGGGTCAATCCATGAGCACATCTAGGTCTAGCTGTAAAGGGCAGCGACATCCCCTACCAGCCTACTACGAGCTTAGGCAGTCCAGATGGACTCCGAGAGCCAGCCCAGCATCTCTTCAGCAGCAGTCCTTCTCAACAGTGAGTACGGGATGTGCAGAGTCCCACCTTACTGAAGGCAGCACGTGTGTCTGTCTAGAAAGATAGCTACTGGTTCCTTTCTTTGTACTAACACTTTAACACAGCGGATGGCATGGGTGTCTTCGTTACTGTCAATTAAAAGGAATATTGGGGCTGGTGAGATGGCTCAGTGGTCTAAAGCACCTACTTAGAACAAGCTAAGCCAAGCAAAGCACAGGGACCGCGGTTCAATCCCCCAGCACCACATGCCAGCCCGCCTGCCCCCTGGTGGGCTGAGCTGGGCACACACACAAAATAAATAAATAAATATTTAAAAAAAAAGGAATATTAAAGGCAATCTGTTGACTATTTTTAAGTTGATACCATTTTCATGTTACTTAGCAGGCAGATACACTCAAAATGTGAGCACTACACACACTAGTTAAATGTATGTGTGGGGCAGATTATCAGCGAGTTCCCTGCCTTCCTCAACTCTGCTTTAAAATGGATATCTCAGCGTTCATTTTAAAGCAGACAGAAGAGAAACACTACTGAGTTATGGACTATCTAGTCTCAAAACCAAATACTCTAACTCTACAGCAATTTCAAAACTACTTACTGTGCATCACTTTTCAAGCATGCTTCCTTTACTCGAGCGTATTCCTGGTGAGTATCTTGATACAACTTTAGAGAACTCTTAAAAAAAAATAAAATAAACATTGCCCAAGTGCAATTCATTGGCCGCTTGCTGCAACTTTTTTTGATCTTAGGAGCTAAATTACTGAAGTTTAACCATATAAAATTAAGCAAATGAATATATAAATTGTGCAGGAAACCAGAATAATATGCACTGAACACTATAATGAGTATATCAGATTCTTAATGAATACAGTTGATAGTGCAAGCCAACAAAACAAAATTGAACTCTTTTAAGATTACTTACAATAAAGAGCAAATCAAATTTATATTAAAAAGCAACTTTAAGCATTTTAAACAAATTATTTTCCACCAACTTCATTTTGAAAGGAAAACAGCCTCCATTAACTATTAGGTTTAAGTGGTGTCTTTCCCAAGGCTCCCCTGTGGTGTAAAACATATCATTCAGCAAAGCAAAACATTTATCAAGCCAGTAGAGAAACGTTTACCAAGCCTCTAACACAGCACTGATGCAAGAATATGCACAAAGTACCAGCAGACTCATTCTGTGGACCTCTCACAGAAGAAGTCACAAAGGATCAAATGTGATTACAAAAAAAAAGACATATCAGAAAATGATGCACCCAAGCTGGCAGGGTTGTACAGGTAAGTGTCCCAGGACAAAGCCCTGACTGGTCACCAGCTGTGAGCACAGAACTGGAGAGGCGGCAGGAATCACCACAGCAGAGGACCTGAGGATACACACCAGGCCAGCAGCCACAGTCGTGTACAACCCAAAAAGCCAGTTCCCACCCACCCTCTGCCATGCACAGAGTCCCTGCCTCTAAACTGCAAGTTCTGTATATTATTTCACACTTACTGCAAGGGAAATGTGAAAAGGACGTAATGCAGGACTCATAAAACCATACAGATTTGCTACTGATCTCTCAAAAAGTATCACGTGTAACACAGGAATTAAGGGCTAATCACCACAGGAAGACTCCTCATCAATGTTCTCTAGGAATGTGAGTCCTGGCTGCGTTTGTCTTCTTTGTTAAGAAATGAAAAGTCCCCTGTGCCAGTTGCTGTGAGTGAGCCAATCCTAACCTACTGACAATTAAGCTATAGGAAAATGGCTTTAGTTACCTTTTTTTCTTCTAACTCTGCTTTTAAAGATCCCAATTCTTCCTGACATTTCTGTAGAGGAGAAATTTTTTGAAGCATCTGTTCAACTTGGTGATGTAGAGTGCTATTCTCTCTGAAAATGAACAATGCATTAACAGCATTATGCAAAAGCATCTGCAGTGAACTATTGCTTACATGTTCTTGTGATCTCAGATTCCTAAGCTGCAATACAATCCCTTTAAAAAAAATCTCTTCTCAAGTATTCCTCCTGTTCATTATTAACATGATTCTCATGCTAGTGGACTACTTTTGACAAAAGTGTATCAAAAAGCAACTTGAGAAACAAGTATTCACAAACTTGAACTTACTCAAATTATCTGAAACACAACTTTGCGATTGATTTATTAGCACATTTTGCTTTTTATAAGTGATAAATGCAAGCAGGACATGAAACATACTAAATTATGCTAATTTTAAATTATTTAAAATGATACAGCATAAACAATTACAGGCAGTGTGATTCATGTAGGGAACAGTAATGTGAGAGCAGTAAGTTTTACCTAAAGCGCAATGTTTTCACTAAAAGTTATGAAAAGTGAAACACCAAGATATAACTGACGGCCTCAGTAATAAGTTCATCTGAATGATTAGACACTTAGGAAACGCTAATATTCTTTCACTGTGAACATCAAAGCAACATTCTCTACTAAGAGTGAATTAGGGGAGAAAAAAAAAGAGTGAATTAGGTCCTCTTTGCTGCAATGTCGACGTATCTGGTGTGATGAATCAACCCCAAATCAAGTACTATGTGAGTCATCTCATCAATGGCCCAGATACAGGTCGGCTCACCTTCTTGCAAACTGCAGCTGTGAAACTTATTAAGGAAAACAATGAAAACTCAATCTCGTGATACCTGTTTAGAGATGAAATTCACTTTATAATTCCATGCTCAATGCATACACAGGCAAGATCATAAATCCTAGACTGATTCTAAAATATCTATTGAAACAGCCCTGTGAGAATAAATTATGTGATGAATTAAAATTACAATAAAAGCAAAGCAATATGTAACTAATAGAAAATGCCTTCATCTGTTTCTGTAGAATCCCCAACAACCTGTGCTTCACTTCTCTAATCTCCAGAGACAATTCCAACACACCAGAGTTATCTATGCATTTACAGAACTCATAGATGACCACATATAAGTAATCACAAAAGCGAAGAACAAAAAAACTACAAAAATCAACATTTGTATAATTTATATAATTTGATAACCTCATTGTCCCCCCTCATTCTGCCAGGGAAATATCTGAAGACAGTAAAAATTAATTCCTTTAATTTCCTAGAAACGCTTATATTTACATCACAACACAGTACATACACATTTGTAAACACTTGGTGGCAGTTTCTGCTGTTACAATGGAAGCTTGAAGCCAGGAAGTATATTTTATTCTTCCTAAATTAGAGCACTCTTTACAGCACACAAGTTCAAATAAATATCTGATAAATAACAATGCCTATCCTTTAGGAAGACATGATAAATAACATAAAGGATAGAATTTAAAAGGAAATGAATCAATGCCGAACTGTCACTGTGGAAATAATTTTCTCATCTTGAAAAAAGCCACAAAGGGGCCAGTAAGATAGCACAGTGAACTGAAGTGCCTACTTAGGCAAGCTCAGGCAAACACAGGGACTGCAGTTAGATCCCAGGCACGACATGCTGTGTCAGCCCCACCCCCAAGGCGGGCTGAGACAGTCAGAGTCCGGGCATAATGGTGCATAGTACTGTATGCCTGTAATCCCAGTACTGGGGAGGTTGAAAGCAGGATTGCCACCATGAGTTTGGGCTGCATAGTGAGACATTGCAACAACCAAATACATTAAAAATTAAGGAAAACACAAAAATCTACTGCCACTTTAGTAACAAAAAAACAAATTATATAAGAAAATATTAAGCCCGTGACACTTGTATCTTAAGTTGTGGAGCAAATAACTGTATGTTTTGAGGGAGCAAATAACTGTATGTTTTGAGGTATAGTATATACTTGTAGCAAATGCCAAATGTACTTTTAAAAATCAGTAGTTATCTATGGCTGAGGCTAAATACCACATCACAGAAGAAAATTCTGGAATTCAAGAATAACTGAAAGTTTTATGTGTTTAGAAAAACTAGTGTGATAATTTTTACTCGATCTTTGTAGACAAATTTTAAAAGAGCAAACCACTAACTGTATTCTTAGATTAAATGTGTAATTACCTCACAAAATTTAGACCACTTTTTCTAAAGGCAGATAATGAACACATATTCACCTAATACTGGAATTGTTTTCCTCTTTAACTATCTAAAAGTACTCATAATACTTGTTTCCATACAGTTTTTACAATCAATTAAAAATAATACACTCAGAGCTGGTGAGAGCTTAGTGGACTAAACGTCTGCTTAGGCAAGCGCAGGAATTGCAGTTCAATCCCTAGCACCACAGGCTGCACCAGCCCCACCCCCAGGCACACGGAGCCAGCCACCGAGACCAGGTGTGTAGCACACACCAGTAATCTCAGCACTGGGGAAGCTGACACAGGAGGGGATCACTGCGAGTCTGAGCTGGGCAGTGAGACCCTGTACCAAATAAATAATAATATCCTTGCAATGATAGGCACTATATTTAAATGAATTGATAATCTCCAAAATCACATGGACAAATTCCAATAACCTCTACTTTTATATACATTTTTTTTTTCTTTTTTTCTTTTTTTTTTTTTGGCACTGGGTACTGAACTCAGGCCTCGTGCTCGCCAGATAGGTGCTTGTGCCACTGAGCTATATTCCTGGTCCTGACCTCTATTTCTTAATAGAAAAGTTCAGATAACAAAAAGAAAACTAACTCCTAGAGTCTGGATTTTATTATTCTAATGCCAGAAATGATACTGCAGCAGGCTAAATTTGCTTCAGTACTTGGGAACTTGGGATGCAATTGCTGGGACAGAAAAGCATTGTTGAAAGTGGAAACAAAGCAAACTTCCACCGACCTCTCTAGGTATGTGCATTTATTTCTGTGTGAGAAATTTTACATTTTTTATGGGAGAGACTTAGATCAAGTGTTATCATCAAAAGATCCAGTTACATACCCCTTTGTCTCATGGCTAAGAAAGTATTCAACCAAGCCAGCTCCACCGTGGGGCCTGCTCAATGCTTTCTGAGCAAACAGACACTCTAAGCCTGGGAAGTCTCCTCTGATCCTTCCAGATATGGCTTAGGAATATACAACTCCACTAGCTCTATTTCTACAAGACTTTTTATTTTTTGTTTTATGTATTTATTTTGGCACCAGAAATCTAACTTTGGACCTTGTGCTTGCCAGGCAGGTGCTTGTGCCTGTGCCACTGAGCTGCACCCTAGCCCCAGATTTTGGATATATACACTAATTCTCTGCAAATCACAAGAACAATTCAGAAGTGCATTTCCTCACACTTTCAAAGTTCTCACAGTGCATTTCTGGCAGTTCAAAAACAATGCTGAGAAAGTGCCATTCCAGTTATGCTGTCTCTAAATTAAAGGACATATCATGAGATGCCACACCCTTAAGTACATGTGAAAGAACCTCTTTTAAGAGCTGACAACACCTTAGCAAAATCAGAAGCAGTGACAGAAACAACACCAACTACTAGATCTCCCTGCTCATCACTCAGCACCCCTGACCGTGACAGGGCTTGGAGTGGTCCTCCCTCGAGGGAGCACAAACACTGCCCTCCAAAAGTTTTGAAAAATCTCTCTCATACTTCACACATCTCTTTCAGGCATTACACATAAATAAATCCCAAATTCAAAAGAATTCAAAAGTCAAAAGTAAAAGGATATCATCACATTTCTTCTGGTATTCTGTCAGCAAATTGCTAAAATAAAGAAAATAATCAAGTTACTTTTTAATGTACAAAATACACTATGATAAAAATCATGTTTCAAAGCATACAAGGCAGCTTGTCCTACATTTCCTACAACAAATGTATGCTAAGTTAATGTATCATCTGAACTTCTTCAAAGCACTGCACTCATAGATAAGCTTTTAGATTAAAATCTTTTCATCTAAGTAGCATCTTAGCTATAAACTTGTAAGTCCCTTATAAATAATTAAATTTCAAATTGTGGCTCTAAATACTATAAGAAAATATGATATCCAGGGTAAAGGTAAGAAGATGCTAAAGACAGAAAACAGCTTTGAGGGAAATTCCAACACAGCCAAGTCATGTCCCACTGTCCCCAGATTCCTGTTTTGATGGCTGTGAGCCACTCATCAAAGGTGCAGGTTTCTGACAGGAGTGAGTTTATCATAATCAGTCCCACGAATCAGGCCTGCTCTGGGGACTATCAACCACAACCAGCTTCAACTGGTTCATCGCGTTTACAAAATTCTGCCAAACATGTGCTATTATACTTACTCAGTATTGATAATTTTTTGTTTCAAGGTAATTAATGCTTCAACATATTCATTTAAATTCTGAAAGAAAAAAGGATAGTCAGATTTACATTTTTACTTTAAATGTAATTATTTTCTGAAATGTTTATTACAAAACATAAGCATCTGGTTTAATATATTAAAAATACAGAAATGTGTGAGTCTAAAATTAATATTGTGTGTACACACACTCCTCCATCCCATGTTCTTCCCCTGAACATCTTTATGGGAATGCTTTTGTGGCACTCACTGAACCAGAGTTTAATATTAACTATTTTCTGTCACTGTTAACCACCAGTTTTCACTTCCTGTTGTTTTTCAAAGGAGTTAAGATTATCTAGAAAGCTATAAAATATTAACAAACAGAAAAATAATAAAAGCAAGAGTAAGAATAAAGCAAACTAGAATATTACAATGAGGCCAACACTAAGCGAAAAAAATAACTTTATAAAGCTCTGTATTATACTTTTAAGAAGCAACCACAATTTTGGCCCTAAATTACTACTATCAACTCCACAAAGGAAAACATTATCACTCTTCAAATGTTCCTAAAATTTAAAACGTGATTTTTTTCTTTAACCAATGCTTTCCTTTAATGTCTCCCTTCAGAGTTTTAAACATAACCACACTAATTTTCTCACATTAAATATATATCATCCAAGGGGCTGGGAAGACAGCTCAGTAGAGTAAGTGTTTCCCTGGCAAGTGCAAGGGCCCGAGTTCAATCCCTGGTACCAAAAAACTTTTAATTTGTATCTGTGTATTCAAAATGGTTAGGATAGATATAGCTACATTTTCTTAATGAATAGAGGGATTTGTTCTAATAGTTTTTGTAAACAGGATATCATATCTGCATCTTGTACAACAAATAACCACTAGGAAGACAGTATGCAATGTGTTAATTATTGAAACTGTCCTACCAATTTGATTTGAAACTGTCTCACTGCTATTTGTTTCTCAGTAAAATTATGGAAAAAAATAAAAATAATTTTAAATTTAAAAAACAAAAACAAAAACAAAACAACAACACACACACACACAAAAAAAAAAATATATATATATATATATATATATATACAAGCTGTTCAATTTTCATGGAGTATCTCACAAGTCTTTTCCTTGATAACTCAAGTGATCTTGACAGTACAGCATTTTCACTTATGCTGATGCTATAGGGCATTTTCTTTGCAGTTATACTAACACATTTTAAAACAAAAAAATCTTCATGCTAAGACCTACAAAGCACAAAGTGTAATGCTACCCCCTGTCAGCACTCCTTTAAAATTCCCGTAACATTTTCGAGTGGTTACAGCACATGGAAATACATGTAGATGTAATCAATATAACAACTGTCTAGTGAATTTACCACTTTGCAATGGGTTTATTGCCTATTCCTTGAGGAGACTCCTCCAGCTTCTCTGAGAATGAAGTCCAAACCAGGCAGGGCGGGAACAGACTACATATTTATAAAACAGTCAACACTGAGCCTACAGCAGGCCACCACCCACAGCTCATCCATCCATGACCACAGCTCCTGTGAGCTCCTGCACCAGCTCTCTACCTGAGTCACCGCTGTGACGGGGGAAGATTTTTTCATTTATTAATAGCATTAAGAAATTTTCCTAACCACTTCTGGATGTTCAATTTGTTTCTATTACTAACAGTCCGTGAATGTGCTTGTTCACTGGTGTGGCTGCACTACTCTTATAAACTGCAATATTTGACAGACAACAAGCTCTTATCAAATGTATGACTATAAACACATTCACCAACTGATCATTAAAATATGCCCACATACATTGCTCTCAAAGCTGAGAAAGGAGGACAGCAAGCCAGCCTACCCAACTCACAAGAGATTCAGTCTCATAAAGGAAAAATGAACTGAGGATATAGCTCAGTGCGAAGGCCCTGGGCTCACCTTCCAGTACATTTAAAAAAAAAAAAAATATATATAGATAGATGTACACATATATGTCTACATATCTATATATGCACATACACACAGATATATGCACACATGTACACACCTTTTTAATATTCATATACCTGAGAATGTCTTTTGTGTTAAACCTTTGTTTCCTGACATATTTACAAAGTTCTACCCAAATCAAAATGATAAAATAATTCCTTTATATGTTATTCTAGCATTTTTAAGTTTTCGTATCTATACCTACAATTCTTCTAGAATTTATTTAGTCTAAAGACTATAAAAAATGTCGGGGGCTGGGGAGATGGCTCAGTGGAATAAGCACTTCCCTGGCAAGCGCAAGGGGCTGAGTTCAATCTCTGGTTCCAAAAAAAAAAGTAAATCAAAAAACATTAGACAGACTCTTCCGTAACTCAGTATTTTTTATCTTTCTTCCTTTAAAGCAAATCTTTCATTATACACAAATTCTACACAAATTATAGAGGTAAATACATTTGAATGCCATCAGCCAAAATACAGGGTGATACCTCCACAATTTCAAGATAGACAAAGATCTTTTAAATTATATACTGAAGGACAAATTTGTTCATGTACTTCACAACATAAAAACTTTAGATTTCTGTATGGCACTTAACACTACAGATCTATTTTTCCCACCACTAGAAAAGACTGGAAAAAAAGCATTGGTAAGGACATCAGAAAAGGAAATCTCCGACTGAAGGTAGTAGTACCTTAAAAGCATTTTGGGAGCACACACTAAAATGAAAGCACAATGATCATTTTGCCTATTTTCATTATCATGCGCTTGTTCTCTGGGTCCCTTCCCTACATCTTTAGTCTAGATGTTCTTCCAAGATAATCCATGTCTATCACTGGCATGAGTGCCATCTGTTATTGTTTTTATAACGTTTCCTACTTGGCTCTTACACAGATATGCAGGAATATTATCTTGTTTATTGATTATATTGGATTTGCTCATCTTAAAACAATGTCACAAGAATACGGATGAATATGAATGTGTGCATATATACAGACATGTACACATATATGTCTGTACCCATCAGTATGTATGTATGTTTTTGTTTTGTTTTGTTTTTGCAGAACCGGGGATTGAACTCAGGCCCTTGTGCTTGCCAGGGAAGTGCTTATTCTGCTGAGCCATCTCCCCGGCACCAGTATGTATTTTTTAAACACCAATTGGATCCAATTTGTCAACAACAACAACAAAAGTTTCCAAAGTAAACACGGTAGTGTTCATGTATCTGCAGATTTTCCTGGAAGGTGCACAAACATGCTGCATCTGCCACCAGCAATGGTTTTAGTCTCCCTCTGCCCAAGCTTCCTTTCGTATGTTTGCCTCGGCCTTCCTGAGCAGATGAAAACCTCAGCACAACACTGCAGCAGGACTGACAACAGACATCCTGCCCACACTTGAACTGACTGCATCTGCTCTTCAGCACTACAGGTTTTCAGTTGACATCCTTTGAGCAAGTCATTTAATTTCTACCCACAGCCTGCTGAAAGACACCATCATTTAAGATTAAACTTCACCACATAAATATATGCATCTGGGCTGGGGACATGGCTCAGTGGCACAAATGCCTTCCTGACAAGCACAAGGTCCTGAGTTCAATCCCTGGTCCAATAAATAAATAAATAGATCTATTTAGTTTTCACATGTTAATGATAGGACTTAATTCCCATGTCATTGCCAAGTGGTTGTAAATCCTTGACTTGACAGCTCAGGGGGCTTCTGATTATAAGAATGCAGAAAAAGACACTGACTTAGCAGGCCAAATGTGATAATACTACAGTTTAAGGAAAATATTAAAATAGTATAAAATTTTAACACAGCTAATATGTGGTGCAGCAGTTCTGAGTGCATATTACATACACCAGCAATGGGGTACTTATAAGATTTCCATGTTAAAATTTGGAGAATGAATTTTCATGAATTATTCATAAGTACAATTTTTGTAATAATTTTAATTGGTATGAATAGTATTAATATTTACATTTGGGCAATAATTATTCAAAAATCAATCAACTAGACTCAATCCATTTTTAGAGTTTTAAATTAACTTTATTTAGTAAAAAGATCAGTAAAAGTCTTTTTGTACCACCAGTGGTACAAGCCATCAGATTGGTCAGTTACACATGTAACACTAGTGGTTCAAGTCAATGGTAACATATTGACGTGCTTGCTCCTTTTACTCATGAGTACACTAGATTATAACAGATTTTCTAATGTTGAAGCAGCCTCCAATCCTCCTGATGTAAAAACAACTGAATCTTTATTTAGTCTGTTTAAACACTGATTGGATCCAATTTGTCAATATCCAACTGAGACTATTTCTTCGTCTGTGTTCCTAAGTGATATACCTATACATTTCTGCACTGTATCCAGCATTCTCAATGTTACATGATTCACAAAATTAGATAGCTTTTCTTTATTCAAAATGTCTGAGGAAGTAAGCCATGACCACTTCTTATGTATAAGTTTTCCAGAAGTAGAACTGCTGGGTCACCAATAGCTATGGGTTGAAGAGTATCCCATTCTCAAATTGCAGGCTAAAGCCTAGCAGCAACCCCCTCCCACCTCAGAACAATCTTATTTGGAAATAAGGTCACAGCAGGTATGACCAGGTTAAAATGAAGTCACATAGGATTCTGGTGGGCCCTATTTCAGCCTTCTGGGCAGAGTATAGGTATAGCACCTGTCTTTATACTCTCCCTAAAATCAGTTAAAACTACAATTGAAAGAATTTTTTTTTTTCTCCAGCCCCAAAACTGGCAGGGTTAAGAAAAGACCACAGAAGACAAATAGAACATAGTTTTGAGAACACTGATGAAGCAACCAAGGATGCTCACAGTGGGGAAAGTGACAACCAACCCCACTTGTACTGCAAAACTCCAACCAGCTTAGGGAATGGGAGACCAGTTGCTCAGAGAGAAGAATTAGGAATGGAACTAAAAAGCACAAGTTGGAAGTTTTCAGATAAGCACCAAACTCCAATCCCCAACCCTGCACAATGCCTCAAAGGAACTGACTGCCCCCCATCATCCAGCAGGAAGCTTCATTTCTGAAGGGAGGTCTCTGACCAGGGGAAAAATC